ATTATATCACGTCAAAGGATATAATCTTCTTCGGTATAAACGTAGAAGTACGACACCGTGGACACATTTATGATACCAATGGCCTGAAGGCTAACGCAAATTGTTTAACGTTGTCGATAGCACTGCCATTTTGCGTTGGAAGCTGACTTAAATGGATGTGCTTTATATTTCTTGGTATCAACGCCGGCGCATCTCATGTGGTTTTTAACCCAATTGGATACCGTGCTAGGCAAGACAAAACGAACAGAAGTTGTATCCTCAATGTAGGCTAAAAATAACGTGTGATCTTCTAGTAAAGAATTACCCATCGAAGAGATCTTCTTAACAGCCATGTGTAATGTCCGGACACGGCCCACGTTTTTCTTCGTCAGATCAGTCACTCCAAGCTTTGATGTCTTAAAGTTTGCTTCTTTGAAACGAAGGCAACAGCGATTGATTTACAAAGGGCAAACAATTTAAAGAAACCTAGAAATGTATTTATAATAAGAAGTCAAGCCACATGGTCATCAGGAAATAACCTCATACATAAAGATTAGTATTAGACATGGCCAAATACAACGCTGTCGACATTTACATACAATTGACGCTTATTAAAGATAATTAATTGATTGTCAAAACTATAATGGTGATGTTGACACTAGGAAATCATATTGCCATAATACAGATCTGTGTCTTGAATACTACTTGACATTAATGTTGATCTTGGATAGCTTTTATAAAGAATGTTTTTCAAAAGAGCGTTCACTTAAATTAGCAAGCATCATCTGCTGATACGTGTTAATCCCAAAAAAGATTATTCATTATGTCGATAAAAACCTCTTTTTATTTTTTTGTTCAAGTTGCTCACGTAGCCAGGCTCATAAGCTGACGACGAAGAATCAATATAACGGGCACGGAGATGGACCGACAGAGTTGCGACTGAAGGAGCTATTACTGCTAGGGGTGGCTCTTGGTCTGTGCAACTCAAGTTTAAAAATTACTCTTTAGGCAAATTGTCCTTATTTAATGCATTGTGCATTCAGATTGATTACATAATCAAAGAAAAAAAGAGAGAGGCATAAAACTAAAAAGAAAATTGTCTCTTTTAATTTTAATGTGGGAAAGAGTAAGACCTTGTTACATCATTTTTGAATCCGAATAGGTTTCTCAGAATTTCCCGAACTTTTATTTTTTGCATTTCTTCCTCTTGCTTTTTATTTTTGTTAAAAATCTCAAATGACAAATACATATACCCAACAGCATCAAATCCCTTTAACAACAACAAAGAAGTCATACAACATTTCAGAGGCAAAGTTAAAAAGGATCTTGGAATATAACGAACGACTAAAGGAGCAATTGGATTTACCTCGTATTCCTGTTTCTGAGGCATCTTCCAGGTAATAATCATAGATTACTTTCGGTTTTTTTTTGACTCAACTGTTTATAACAGTCTTATTGACTACTGCAATTCAACAAAGGACCCGTTATTACCTTCTATATGGGGACCAGTAGATAAAGAGCATGATCCTTTCGCGCCGGCCGCTGGAGGAAACAAAACAAGTAGTAGTTGTTGTATTGTCATGTAGAAAAAAGAGAAAAACATTGTAAATAAATTAAGACCTTGTGTCACTATCATTGTTATATTCCATGGATACAGATTACTGTGTAGGCCGATATAAACTCCCTTTTTTGTTAGTAGATCCAAGTGTAAATCATACGCATTATATAGATAAAGCTGTTGATTGAACTAAATAATGACTTGAAGCAGTCGCAAATAGTTGGTTTATGGCTAAAGTCATGCCTTGTTACCTAAAGAGATTAGTTTGGATGTGATTAATATTTAATTTCAGGATACCTAAAATAGTTAATCTCAGGTAGCTTATTTTAAAAGTATTCATTTGTCGTTGTCTGTTGTCATTTTCTGTCAAAAGCTTATACGTTTAAACAGAGATATTTGTAAAAATTTGAAGAATATTAGAGTGCGCGATGCTTTTACAACGTTGTTTCTACCTGGATAAGATAAATACAGCACTTAAAAGACAGCTATCATACTGAAGACATTACTGTACCCTTCCTAAAAGCACTTAAATCAAGAAGAATACCCGCTTGACCTTATTGTGGCTAACATACTCCATCGAGATTAAGCCATTTATTTATTGTATATTGAACCATGTGGAATTTGAAGCGTCTTTCGTTCAAAGCTCCATTGCAAGAAATTGTCTTGGTGCCAACCTTGGCCTTTGATCTTATGCAGCTAAAGGTAATGAAATATACATCTCCATCTGACATAAATGGTAATCTTAATTAATATAACAGGCTATTATACTTACAACAGCAGTTTAAACCAAAGTACATGCTGGGCATCATACCAGAGTGTAGTCCTCCTGTCAATTGGCTGTACGGTTGTGTTTCTTTTCTCAAAACGTCAAAAGAAGGAAAAAAAATCTTAAAGTTATCTTTCATACTATTAATTATCAACAGTCCTCTGAATTCAACGTTTTTCTCAATAAATAGAGATTTAACAAGTGACAAGTTCTTGCTGTGGCATTGTTTGATAGATATGCATTAAGAAGAGAGAAACACTGTAAGTTAAAGCCCCGAATCAGAGCATCACTCAAATCGCTGAAGTGGTGTAAGGGTGGTGTGCCAAGGACCTCCTTTTATCTTTTAGTTTCCACCGAACAATCACTTTTGATGACTTAAGCGCGCTACTTTAATTTTAGTCAGCGAACAACCCTTGGTATTGGCTGTCAGCTACAACTAATTTTTTTTTATCTTCTTATAATAATACGACATGGCCGAAGGAATCAAAATTGATCCTGCCATTGAAAGATGGGCACACATTCGTGAAAACACTCACCTTTACTTCAAATTTAACCAAAGAAACACAAGAAAATCTTTGATTTGGGGCGTTGCTGTTCCTATCGCACTTACTATCCTTGCCTACAAAACTGATGTATAGTATTTTTAAATTGACTACCATGAATATATAAAGTAACTTTTATCATTTTAGCGCAAGTGGGACTTTGCTGCAGCTCAAACCAAGGAAGACTTGACTCCTTCAAAGAATTAAGAAATGCATAAATATGTGTAGAATTGAATTCGATAATAAACATCAACAAACATTTACTATTCAGCTGTAACATGGTTTTGTTTTTTCTTTTCTTTTCTTTTCTTCATTCAACGCAACTGGATTTTACGCAATCATAGATATGCAAGTAATAGTTTTCAAATAGGACCAAACGTCTTTCTATGATCATTCGTTGACAGCAGATACGATCACACCTTTGGGGACATGGGAGGGGGAGGGAAGGAGGAAGGAGGAGAGGACAACCTTGAAAGTCAAATCAGACACTTGAGATATTTCACTATTGACTATTTCCATTTTAATGAAAAATAAAACTAGACAGAAGCATTATGAATTAAGTGCTTTTATTTCAATAAATATGTAAATGCAAACTTTTTTTTTAGCAAGATAATATACATGAGCAAATCTATAAACGCTCCTTGACCCAGCCTTCAAGACCATTGGCTAACCAAATTTCCTGCACACTCCTACCAAGTGCACCCACTTTGTACAACTTCTCTTGACCGTCTTCTTTGTAGACTTTGACTTTTCCTTCCGCCACATGAATGTCAACCTTCCATCCAGTGCGTCTGGTTAAATCAGTTGTACCTAGTGCCTGCTTGAGGTCATTGACCAATTCAGGGCTTTCAATAAGCAAGAGAGCATTATTGACAGAGTTTCGCTTAAAGATATCAGAGTAAGAGCCTGCAATCATGATTTGAATGCCACGAGATTTAATAGCTGTTGCTGCCTGTTCACGAGAGGATCCTGTACCAAAGTTGAAACCTCCCACGAGAACATCGCCTTCCTTGACCACGTTAACAAAATTGGGATCATAGTTTTCCATGACAACCTTCTTCATATCCTCTGGTGTCATATCGTCATTGTAGGTATATTTTCCTGGATATATACCGTCAGTATTCAAGTTATCTGCGTGACAGAAAAGAATTTCGCCCTTGATAATTGCAGGAAAGTTGGGTAGTACTTCAGCTTGAGCAGCAGCATTGGAGTCACTGCTAGATTCAGAAGTATGTGTTTGAATGCTGAATGAAGGTTGCTTGGTCGCCTTGGCAGAGGAAGCAGGACCAGAGATCTTGCCTGTAAGTGCAGATGCAGCAACGACAGCAGGAGAGGCCAAATAAGCCAAGGCATTAGGGGATCCCATACGACCCTTAAAGTTACGGTTGGTGGCTGAAATACCGATTTCACCGTCCTTCAAGAGACCAGTGCCTAAGCCGACACAAGGGCCACAACCAGCAGGTAGTACCTTGGCGCCTGCCTCAATTAAGACGTCCCAATCACCAGACTCTTGAGCCTCTTTTTGAACTTCAGAACTAGCTGCGGCAACATAAAACTCGACACCTTCCTTAATCTTGTTACCTCTGAGGACTTGTGCGGCCTCCTTCAAGTCACCAGCACGAGAGTTCACACAGGAGACAAGATAAGCTTTATTGATCTTGATGTCTTGCTTCTCAAGTTCAGCAAGAGATGTGGCAACCTTGACCGAATTTGGACCAGAGACGTGAGGAGAGAGAGTAGAGAGATCCAAAGTCAACGTCTTGGCGTAAGTTGCCTCAGGCGAGGGTTCAATGGGTTGATCGATCAAGGCTTGTATTGTTTGATCATTAATACGAGGATGAACAAATTTTTCGCCCTTCTTCAATGGTGGCAAGTTCTTGTTTTCGAAATGAGTGAGCTCAAGTCGTCTTTGGCGTTTACGCAAGTACTCGATTGTCTTTGTATCTACGGGGAACACACCAGCCAAGGCACCCCATTCGGTTGTCATGTTGGCAATAGCCAATCGATCTTCGACAGAAAGACCATTCAAACCTTCACCATGGAATTCAATGGCCGTATTAAGCACTTGATCCTTATTGAACAACCCGCAGAGAGTGATAATCACATCTTTTCCAGTTACACCAGCAGGTAGTTGGCCCTCTAGTATGACCTTAACCACGGGAGGAATCTGCCACCAGGTTCGGCCAGTGGCCCAGATGGCAGCTGCATCTGTACGAACAATAGGTGTACCAAGAGCACCAATACCACCATACATATTAGAGTGTGAGTCTGAGGCAACGGTCAATGTGTTGGGGAACGCATATCCTTCCTCAATCATCACTTGGTGACCAATACCTCGACCAGCAGGATAAAAGTCAACGCCTTGCTGCTTTCCCCAGGCTTCAATATTGGCATACTTTTGAAGGTTCTTTTCAGACTTATTTTGAACATCATGATCCAATGCATACACAGGTTGTTTAGGATCATGGATCTTTGTGGCTCCTATCGATTTAAACCTAACACACACAAATCAGAGAATTGTTTAATGATGTCAATAAAACTTACTTGGGAATAACAGCCCCTGTGTTATCATGAGTAAGGACATGATGAGGACGAATAGTGACATAATCGCCACTCTTTACTTTATAGCCTTCAGGTAAATCTACTGCATATTTTTGAACAATCTTTTCAATTAGGTTTTGATGATCTGTTGTAGCATAAGATCGACGATAAGAAAAGACAAGTGGTCTCTTGATAATATTTGTCCTTGAGATGGCTAAAAACATAATACAAAAAACAAAAGAAAGAGAAGGGGGGTAAAGAAATAAAATAAAGAAAAGGATGCATTTTTATTTGTATATTTTGTAGATTAGATTATCCACATCAAAGCCAATACCAAAAGTGGAAAAATAATCTTTTTTTCGGAACAACAAAATCTGTCAAATGTATAACAATTCAACATTCGACAATATTTTTATTTATTTCTAAGAGTCTAGCAAACAAAAAGGATATTTTGAGGATAAATGAAAAACATATAAAAAGATGATAAAAATAAAAGTGTATAAATAAAATTATAAAAAAGGGAAAATTTACAATTTGACATTCTTTCTGAGAGCTTCCTTGTACTCCTTGATAGAACCTTCAAAGTTTTTAACTTCACCCTTTTCACAAATCCAAATTTGTTGAGCAACTTGTGAAATCAATCGGAAATCGTGAGAGACGAGAACAACACCTCCACTGAATCGTTTGATGGCATCTGCAAGTGAGTCAATAGATTCCATATCCAAGTGGTTAGTAGGTTCGTCGAGTAAGATAATATGAGGACGGAGAATGGCCAATTCGGCAAACACAAGACGTGACTTGAGACCATCAGACAAGGTCTTGATCAATGAAGTTTGATGAGCACCAGTCAATCCATAGCGACCCAATTGACGACGCCAGAATTCAACATCACTACCTTCTTCAGGGAACTTCTTACGCATGTAATCGATAGGAGAAAGTTCCATATCAAGTTGATCAGCAGAGTGCTGAGAGTATTTACCGAGCTTCAATGAAGTATGCTTTTGAATACGACCACCAGTGGGAACCAATTCACTGTTCATCAACTTCAACAGAGTAGACTTACCAGCACCATTAGGACCTACCAAGGCAACACGAGAATCCATATCAACAGCTAACTCGAGATCCTTGTAAAGGTAGTGATCAGGATTACCATCATAGGCAAAAGAAACTTCTTGGAAAGCCATGACAGGAGGGGGAAGCTTGGGGACATTAGTGAAGGAGAACTTGAAGGTAGCTTCTTGTTCAACCTTTTCAACCAAACCAGCAGCCTCCATCTTGTCGATAATCTTTTGCTTAGATTTGGCTTGTTTGACCAAGTTGGCATAAGTACCAGCTGAGGCAATGAATTTCTTGATGTGAGCAATTTCTTCTTGTTGCTTAGCATAAGCCTTGGCTTGGTTGACTTCGTTTTCTTCCTTGGTCTTGACAAACATATCGTAGTTACCACCATAGTAAATAAGCTTACGCTTGCTTGTCAAGTGCATGATGTTGGTACAGACACCATTCAAGAAATCTTGAGAGTGAGATACCATGACAAGAATACGGTCATAGGTCTTCAAGTATTCTTCAAGCCAGACAGTAGCTTCCAAATCCAAGTGGTTGGTAGGCTCATCAAGCAATAAGAGAGTGGGCTTGATGAAAAGGGCACGGGCCAAAGCAACTCTCATTCTCCAACCACCAGACATGTCCTTGGTCATCTTGTGCATTTGAGCAGTAGTGAAACCTAAACCGGCCAAAAGGGTACAGGCTCTGGTTTCGAAAGTAGAAGGATCCATGGCTTCGATACGTTCATAGATATCATCCAACAATGGGTTATCGGCACCATCTTCTTGACCGAGAATTTCTTCAACTTGCTTTTCCAAACGGGCAACTTCGTTTTGAGCAGAGTGAATGACAGCTTCGATAGCGTTCATATCGGAAGGTTCGGCTTCTTGATTTAATAAGTAGATCTATATAAAGTGATAAATACATATGTAAAGTTAAGCCATTCTTTTACTTACATCAATGTGGGAAGGAATCTCGATATCACGACCAGCGAGAGAGGCCAAGAAGGTGGACTTACCAGAGCCGTTAGAACCGATAAGACCGTAACGTCTACCAAAGTTAAGTTCGATAGAGGCATTGTCAATCAGAACACGACCGTGGAAGTTGAGAGAGTATGAATCAATCTTAATATCTCTGCTTCTTTCTTGTGAGGTATAAACACCAGTGGCGGTACGTTCAGAGTGGATTCTGAGACTTTCCATGTTTAATTCATCGCCAGAGTTGTTTCCAGAGGCTGTGGCAGGAGTGCTCTTTCCTGATTTGCCGCCCTTTTTGTCGGCTTTGGCAGCTCTAGCCGCAAGACGTTTGGCCTTTGATGCAGAGATCTGTCCACTCATGATTGAAAATATAAGGAGAGAAAGTGAAAGAAAATGAAAGTGTGTTATATTTTTTCGAAAAAGTTTTCGTCCTAAACAAAGTGACTTTTTAATTTTTGATGGGCTTTGATTGGCAGATTACAAATTTGGTAAGGTTTGATTTATACATGGGCGTACATTCTACCAATGACATAACCATATACTATGAACCGCAGTAGGCCATCGATTGGTGCTTGTGATAAGATTCTGAATGCTCACCTATTAAAGAGAGGCTGTGCCCTGAATGGAGATGTTCCTAAAAAAAGGGGAAAAAGGTTTCTAATGACCCTCTTTACCGCCGAGTATAAAATAAGCAGTGTCGAATATGTATTGTTCCACAAAAGGGAAGCAAACAACGACAATCTTGAACACTGGACAAAGTCTTTATGATTGTTAGGACATCACTCAACAAGGTTCTTTACCAACAATTACTAATGCCTTTTATTATCCATTTTTTTTAAGTGATAAGCTTATCAACACACAAGTGATGCAACTCCGGCCATTTCCTCTCTTAATTCATCTGTTATTTCTTGAATTTTTTCAAGGATTTGACTTAACCTTTTCATATAATGAGTTTAACTATTAAAAAAACAATAAAAAAAAAGAGAGAGAGACGAATACCTTTGTTTGTGCTCATTAATAGTTTCGTCATAATCTTTATCTGTTTCTTTTGCTTGAATAGTCAAAATTTGTATTTGGACAGTCTAAGATAACGTTTAGAATATAAATCAATGTGTTCTATTGAATATTAACCTCATGTAGTTTTTGCTTTTCTGTTTCTTGTAAATCTCTAATCATGCGAGCAATGACTTTATTTGACATGTCTTTCTCCACTGTTTGAATCTCTAAAGACACATCCTGAAAGCCTTCAGTCACAAGTCTACAGATTGAATGATACTGCTCTGCTGGACATTTTCCGTTTAAATAATCCTTAAAAGCGCTAAACAAAAACAAATGTGTATAAAGACCCTTTAATTTAACAAAAAAAAAGAAAGTATTACATGTCAAATTCTTGGTAAAGTTCATTTCGTGTATTTTGTGATTTAAGTAAACTTTGTAACTGTTTTGACAAAAGTTCGTTTTGCTCCAAGATTGGGTTATTACTCTCTGACATGGCTTGAGTAGAAAAAGAAAAAGTTATTCCAACCTACTTTGCGGGTTTTCAAAGCACTGATTCAATCTTGAATATAAGCTCTTGTCTTTTGTAAATGAAGAATACCTGAGGAAGGGTCGCATCAATCAATGATCGAGAGCTGAAGGCAACTCTATTTGCGTTACAATCTTGTAATGAGTTATATTTTCGGCTAGGAAAGAAGGAGGAAATAACTGGATAGGGACTAGAGCTTATGAGGCAAGAGCGGGACGATTGGCGGTAAGTATAAATGAAGAGAGAAAAGGAAATAGATGGATAGCTAAGGACAATAAGAATAATGTAATAATTGATTAAATAAATGAGGGTATTTATATAAAATTAGAAGAAATGTAGTATGATAAAAAAGAACCAGCTTGAGTTATTGAGGTGCTAGTAATATGCATGTGTTTATAATGAATCATGACACAAAAATACAACTGGGAGATGAACCACCTGGAGCTTCTTTATAATATGCCCTATACTCTCAGGAACCACTTTTCAATTCTGTAAGGAAATGTGTCAAATATGAAAATATAGAGCAAGAAAAGTCCATCTTTTGGCAGTGAAGATACAGAAGGATGCCTTTTTTTTTGTATTCTCAATAGATCATCAACACATTTAAGTGAAGATCTATTATACAAGAAATACGTTCCGTCAATGAAAAGAGTTCGATGACATAATACTCAAAGACGATACATGGATGTGAATTTGAGCCTAGAAGAACGCTTGTAAACATGTATAGCACAGACTGATATTAATATATGGTATCTCACTAATGAGAACTACTTATGTGAGGATATATAATGATAATTACCTCAAATGCTTCATAATGATAAATATGAAGAAATCATTAAACTGCTGTTTCCTTGGATTATCAGAGACAAAGAAAAGTGCGTCAAGTGGATATATTTTATTAAGATTGAAGAACAAAAAGTCAAAGTGTGGGAGTAACAAAATGAAGCTTTTATTTAAGTAAGCAATAATTTGATTTCCAAAGAGTGTGTGTTTTGAATAAGTAGAAACTTTTTTTTTGATAGCCAAGTTTAGAGAGCAAATAGAAAGTTATTCTTTTTTTTTTTTTCTTTCCATAAGTCTAGAAAGCCACATTATCGCTAGCTTTCAAACCCAAGATGACTAGAACCATAAGCTGCATGCCAGAAGACTACACGGTGTAAACCCTCCATGAATAAAAAGCGCTCGAGACTCAGATCTCAAAACTATGCCATGGTAAATTTAACGAAAGAGGTACTTCAACGTACAAAGAGTGCACTTCTAAGTACCTAGGGCGAAGCGTTTCGAAAGGGGTGATGACCATGGAGGCATTGGAATATTAAACCTTTGGAGCATCGTGACCATCGAGCTCAGAAGTAAGGGAGGGGTTATGGGCCACTCATCAGTCGTAGAGGCAGAGTCATAACAATAGGAGCATCTCGAAGTGATCCAGCGTAGAGAAGCAGTGACCTATAGCAGAGCTTGATAGAGTTTGACGGATAGTGACGAAGTAGATTGATTGATTATGTTTCTTGTGGTCTCAGGACTTGAATATGTAGTTTTTACAGAGCAGTATTCATTAGCAGCAGGCATTGATAGACATGAGGAAAATCCTTCAAGGGTTTTCCGACGTTGATAAGCATGGGATAGGCATTCACTAGCGTTTTCAAACGTTGATCATAATTTGTAGGTATTGATAAGCATGAGTAAGCGTTTACTGGTATTTCCAGACATTTGACAAGTATTTGATAAGCGGGAGTAGGTATTTGGGTATTTGAGTGTTTGAGTGTTTGAGTGTTTGAGTGTTTGAGTGTTTGAGTGTTTTGATAAGCAGTATCAAGCTTTTTTTTAAGTATTAGCGAGTAGCAGAGATTCCTTTAAGGCTTTGCCCCGTGAGAGGTAATTATGATAGAATAAGGTGCACCAGGAACCAAGAAATAGAGTCAGCAAAAAGTGAATTTTCTAAACGTTGGCATTAGCTATATGTCCTTTGAGATCACCCAAATGCTGTTATACCTTTTCAACATAAGAAATAATAAATCCATAGCAGAGTTTTAAAAAGAAATAAAGAATGAAGGGAAAAAAAAAAAGGAAAAAGGCAAAAACGATTGTTTCTTTATAGCTTTTTGTTTACGTGAATCATATTGTTTAGGTTGAAAACAAATGACTCATTCCTCCTTTCTCCAATAATGTATGAACAAATAAATATCTCATTCTCTATCTCTTCCATATTAGAACATATCCGAGCATCAGAACGCCTCTTCCCCTTTTTTTGCATAATCTTTCATGGGCCTTTTTCTTTTGTAAGGCCGCTTGTTTACAAAAGTTGACCTCACGCACACATACACACACACGCATGATTTCTTTCTATTATGATCGCTTCACTTTTCTCATTTCCAGCGCGTGTTTTTCTATTTTCTGGTCGCTTTCTTTAAGAATGAGTATAAAAAAAAGTGAGAGTTAAATGTACAAGGGAAAAAGCTGAGAGGGGATGGCATCCTTTAAAAATGCAGCTGATAGTAATTAAAAAATAAGGCTTTTCTCAAAGAGCATTAGGCTACTGATTCTGTAGAACACATGCAATTAATTCCGTTACGGTTGTTATTTGTCAATCAAAGAAAGAAAATCAATCATGATTGACCTATTTGGTTAGCCACTCTGGCTTGTCTCATAAAAGTAATAATGAATTATTATTTTTCGCTAAAAAGAACCAAAATCAAACCATCCTAACCTTTATGTGTCAAAACCTGTTTATCAAGCATGAAGCATAGATGACTGAGTTGCTGACTAAGGAAAACATAAGAGTGTGTAATGTTTTTATTTTCAGTTTTAGTGCACATGAAAAAAAAGTGAAAGGTAAAAGGCAAAGCGTTTATCCTCTATTCCCTATTGTTATATCCTTATCCTCGCTTCTGCTTGTGAAATGCAGATCAATATTAACGACGACTGTTATTGTAATAGATTTGATGACTATACGTTCATCTTTACAGTAAAGCAATGGATCTTCCAAGTCTGCATAAACTATTTCAAATGCCGCTCGAAACAGGATGGGTTGCTAAGGTACACGACATACTTCACTTAATGACTTTATAGGCGTGGATACTAGCGTATCGTGAATGAGAGGCACTATCAAATATGTGATTTATTGGCGATGAGAACAGGGGTTTTTATAACCATGAAAAAGAATATGAATACATAAATGTATGAATTGGATAAAATAGTAGAAGAATAACTCAATAAGCCTTAGAGAGGAACAACATGATGACAAATCAGTTTATCACTGTAGTAACAAATGCTGTCATTTAGCTGATCAAGTGTAACCTTTACTTTGTCGAACCCTATAGTTAATTTTGCCAAGGATACTTTTGCTGATAAACACAACAGTACATGCATTTGATATTCGCTTTATTCACGATCAATTTTAATGTTGATTCATTTCATTAAAGGGAAAAGATGTTTTAATTGAAAGCTCAATCCCATTTGCTTTATCTTTTTTTTTCTTTTATTTTTAGTTGGAAACCTTTTTCTGATTTGGTCGACGAAATAAACTTGAACTCGGTTGCCACCTTAGCTCAAAGTTATTTTTTTCAATTTGACTGGACCATTCTACAGATACCTATGTTTAACCGTACTAGGAGCTGATGCCAGTCAAGGCGTCACAGTCATAAACCCAACTGTCCACATATGGGCGACCATCATCTTACACACACGATCGCTTGGGTTTTTCCTTTTGCCTGAACAAGCTCTCACATAAGTCCTCCCCAAAGCCACCAGCGATGATTAACAGATGAAAGCAATGGTAGATAGTCATTATAGAGCCTTGAGCATCTTAAACACACACTACACATCCAGCCACCTCTTTAAGACATTGATCAAGAGCCCCTTCATCCGCTGGTTCTCGTCTTGGCAAAGATTCATATACCTCATATAATCCAGACGTTCACCATAACAATAATCAGTATTTCATGGCTTTTTTATCAAGCTGGGGCAATTTTTTTTTTTGGTCTGTGGACTCCGTGTTTATGGTCTCTTTAGGTGAAAGTTCTATATTATTTACTCGTCTTTATAAATTTGGTTCCTTTTATTAAGTGGTAAATGTATGCCATTTTCTAAGCATCAATAGATTCACTTATAATACCCAATGGACTTCCAATATACCAAGAACTTTTTGAACAAGTCAGGACCGACAGGGCATGCTTTGGAAAGTGAAGGGGCCATTTGAGCTGCCTTTTCTGTCTTCCATCCAGGCATGTTTAATAAATGGTCCACATTAGCCTGATAGTATGGTAGTAAAGGAGACGCAGGGTTAGTATCATCAGTGTGTGAAAGCAATTCAACCCATTCTTGAAAGGGTACGGATTCAAAATTCAAGCCACAGCTCTTCATAATATCAAGGAGCTTTGGCCATGTTATAGTGTTGGGATTGACTATATGAAATACAAAGCCATCCAAAGACTTGTAGTCTGTATTAGCAGTACGAAGCACAATTTCTGAAATAGAATTAGCAGCGTCATTTACTGGTATCCAATCAACCTTTATATCCATTTTGGGCATCTTTTTCATTATTTGACCACCCATTAACATCAAAGGATACTGTTCAAGTGCATTCCAGACACCGTTTTCAGTGTCACCACAGACTTGTCCAAGACGTTCGATGAAGCATGGAAAGTTTTTCTTTTTTACCAAATAGTCCATCAAAGCTTCAGCAATAAACTTGGATTGCGCGTATCCTGTGGGCATTGAAACATGGGTGTCCTCTACATATGGTTTCTCCTCTATTTCCTTGCTAGATTTCAAGTTGCTGACTGCGCTGATACTAGAGATCAGGTGGAAATGCATAGGGTTAGTTTGACGATGTGCTAATTTGATTAAATTGTAAAGGAACGGGATGCACTCTTGATCATAATAGTCTACAGACATATTGAAGTCAAGTATCCATGCTGCGTGTATGATAGTTGTAACCTCATCTTTCAGTTTATGGTAGAGTTTGTCTGATAAGCCAAAGCGCCCTTGACGAGACTGGATTGACAATACTTCTAAACGGCTGTTGTTTGATGACAGCAATAATGAGTCAAGATAGCGTGAATCAAAAGATTCTTTGAGCCGTTCTATAGCATTCGAGCCCTTTCCACGAACCATGCAAAATACCTTTTTCACAGCGTTGTTTTTTAGCAAGTTTGACAAGATAAATGAACCAAGCGAACCCGTAGCACCAGTGAGTAAAATGACCTGTTCATGTTCATTTGAAATGTCCTTTTTACTTTCACAAACAGAAAGTTCTTTTTCTGCCTTTTGTATATATTTTTGGAGGATATCCATAGTCTTGTCATACTTTTGCTCCGCGTAGTCTTCCAGGTTTTGCTCTCCGTCCGTCGACAATGCATCTTTCATGCCAGCAATGGTGGGGCAACGATAGATAAAGTTTTGAGGGACTTGTTGGATATGTTTAATTATTCTGCTTCGAAGCTGGGTTGCGGTTAAAGAGTTAAGACCTAGTTCAAATAATGACTGATGATGATCGTCTAAAGAAGATTCAGGTACTTTCAAGATGTCAGAAACACATCTGATTAGAATTGATTCGATGTCTATATCAGATAATGGCTTGGTGTTTCCACCTTGAGCAGAGTGGCCTTCAAAGAACTCTTTGTACATTTGATCAAGACATTCTTCATATTCACTCTCTGCTTTTTTACGTAGCATATTTCCTTTGGGTCCTAAGGGCAATGTTTTCCCCTTTGGAAGGATTTTTACCATCTCACGCAAGATTATACTGTGACGAGGAGAATCTTTATTGGCATCTTCGACTGCTTGAAATATTGTTTCAAATATCTCATCTTCGTCTTGGCCATTGATCTGCTCTTCATCCACTACAATTAATGCCGCAGTACATGGACGACCATTTCCAAAGACAGCTACTTGCTTGACCAACGGACATTGGCCTATTACCGATTCCTGGGGAGCTGGGTTTGCCTTTTCTCCGTTTTCCATCACAAGTATATCATCTCGTCGTCCAATGTAGATGTAATATCCAGGGTAGTCAGGATGTTCCTTGAATAAATCACCCGTACTGAAACCACCATCTGGTCGATTGGACACATTGGTTGCTAATGTAGGCGAATCTCTTCGAACGTACATGTGCTTAATGTCAGGTTCTGATGAATCATTGGTCTCAAACACACAATAGTCATTACCACGAGGGTCAAAGATGTACGATCTCATGGCGCTCCAGTTATCACTTTTGGAATTCATATTGGCTGCCATGATTGCTCCTATTTCGGTTGTTCCATATTCGACACGCAAGTTAATTCCATGCTTGTGGAACCATTCACCAGTTTTACGCTTCAGGGGGGCTCCGCCAAAGAGAATAAATCTCAAACGACGAAGAGCTTCTTGAAACTCTTTATCTACTTTTACTTGGTGAAGGATTTGCTCAAGGGTAGCTGGAGGAGCACACATTAATGTAGCATTGGTAGAAATCAGGGCATGCTTTATCTCATCTCCCGAAGATGGGAGATTCTGAGTAAATACAACACTTCCTCCTATTGTAGCCATTTGGAATACGCAGTAAAAGCCAAAGACATGATATCTACCAGATGAAATGGTGAATCTATATGACGCTGTGCAAAGCAAAAGACGCTTACAAAGGAACACCATTAAGGAATACGTCATCTCTAGCGAGACCATCTGCTTCTGGATCAACTTCTTTAATCATATGTAAAAAGCTGATGATATTGATCAGATATTGGTTACTGAGATAGATAGGTTTTGGTAAGCCTGTTGATCCAGAACTTTGAGATCAAGTTAGCCTTTGTTCTTTTTCGCTAATTAAGCTCTACTTTTACCTGTGGATGATCAATGCATCTTTCCTTATGTCATCCTCAGAAAATTTCAAATCGAGAATCTTTTCATAGTCAGAGTTCAATGCCTCATTTAAGGAAGCTTCTATATCCAAGCGATCAACAGTAACCATTTTAATACTTTTTTCCTTTACTTTTTCTGCAGATGACTTAACCAATGGCTCGTGTTTTTTACTTGCAAATACCAAGCTTGACTTTGTTTTCTCCAAAAGATTCACAACGGCCGCTTCCGAGTTCTTCGGGCATAGCGCTAATAAGGTAACGCGGAGTTTCATCAATGCAAGCATGATGATCAAGTAGTCGATGTTATGATCGGCAATAAGAGTAGCCACTTTGACATCGCGAGCTTCTTTTGCCCATCTGCATGCCAAATTTGTCGCCAAGTGGTCTATATTGGCATACGTCAAGATTTTGTATTTGCCGTTGGAGAAATAATGAGCAAAAGGTCTGTTGGTATACATCTTGCTAGCTTCGTTCATCAAATTAGTGAACGACTTGTAATGATACGCTGCCTTTTGATCGATGCTAAACTTTATCGAAGGGCTTGAAGAATTCATGTTGCTGTTGTGGAAAGAAAGAGAAAAAAAAAGAGAAAGGAAACAACCTTGCTGTTTCAGGAAACCAGGCTAATAATAAGCATGGTTTAATCAGGTATGACATAAATGCAAAATGGCGTATAAACACATAACTGCGTTTGACTGTCGCAATCTACGAGCGTCAGTAACTTTGCTATAATATCTCACACATATACACGCATACACATCAGTTCAACCGGATGAGCGAACAAGAGTTTCTTGCTACTGTGGCATAGGGTAATCCCTTGGTATATCATTGTAAAACAGGAAATTCATTTTTTCTATTTAGCCAATCACACTAACCACTTTAACAAAATATTTGCCTAGATATTTTCTTCTTCTAGATCATCCATGTCAATAGGGTAAAGCCATGCTCAATTAGAATTGATGTTGACAATGATATGTATCAAGGGTTTATGTCGCTTTTGTATTAATCGTCTTTTTCAATAATAATAAGAACTTTCGATCCTTAGTTGTATGCATAACGATACTTCTTCTCGACATATTACACGACCCAAATAGCTATTAACAAATGGAACGATAGTTCCAGATCAGTCTTATATAGATACCATCTTGCTTATGACATTATGCATTCTACTGCACTAAAAGTATAAAGAATGTGCGAATGATTTCTGAAAATGGCTTATAAAAAAAAGTCTGCTATTGTATCTACATGGTTCTAAAATAGCATATTTATTATCATTACATGCTAAACACCAAACAAGTACCGTCATCAGAGGCAGAACAAATGACATTCCCGTCACTAGAAAGCAGTAAAGGGGTGAGCAAAGTATTCTACATGTACAATAGCTTAACTTACTCTGACACAGCGATATCAAGGACAGTATCATGGTGACCTGACCAAGACTTTATGCATTGGCCTGTACGAGTATCCCACATCTTTACGGTTTTATCTGCAGAACATGATGCTAACAGCGGTGAGTTCTTTACAAACTTTACTTTAACGACTGCATCTTCATGAGATAAAGTAGCTCGAAGACGCTGTGTTTGCACATCCCAAACAGAGATGGTACCATCAACAGATCCGGTGGCTGCCAATGGAAGGCTATAAAGAGAGAGAAAAAATGTTATTTCATATAGCAAACATACGGATGATATACATACACATCACAAAAAGCAGAGGATTCAATAGATTCTGAGTGATTTTCTAGCGCAGCGACGATCTGTAACAATTAGACAAGAAGAAACTTTTCGTCACATTTGTATACTTACATGTCCACTTGAAATATTCACGAGTCTAGCTTTACCAGAGACATCGCCTGTAATAGCCAGTGTGCTTTCTTTATTTACAGATACAGAGGTGATGGGCTCAGTGTGAAAACGAGCATCTTCACCAGATAATCTAACCTCTGCTGACGCTGTCTTTGGATCCCAGACGATGAATGAAGTATCTTCAGATGTTGAAACAATTTTTTTGCCATCTGGTGTGAATCGACCAGCTGTAACAGGTCCAGCGTGGCCATTGAATATATTCATAAACTTTCCTGTTGGCACTATTCGATAGATAAAAAGAATTGAGTGAGGAGAGAATAAAGCAAAGGTTGTTCTGATACTTTACTTGCCCACATCCAAATGGTTGAATCTGATGCACCAGCCAGCAAAATGTTTCCCTTGGGATGCCAGTCGATCCAGATGACCTCATCAGGACCATCAACTGCCACACAAAAGTCGCCTGTCTCAGCATTCCATACGCGTACTTTTCCATCCATGCCTGCGGATGCAACGTATCTGCCATCACAGCTAAAAGCGACACTTGTCACAGAGTCTGTGTGACCGTCAAGGCATTTCAACATTTCACCTGTGTCGCAGCGCCAAAGATAGCTTTTGTCGTCTCCACCACCACTCATGATGATACCGTTACTTGTAGGATGCATAGCAATAGCGTAAACTGGACTACGGTGGTCAAAGAATCCTTGAACGGAGTCATCGGCAAGTTCCATGGTATTGTCGTCCTCAGGGTTTTCTCTGAACTCGATACCGTCACCTATTATCTATACATCAGCAATTATCTTTCACTTGTGTTTGATTGTTCATTGCTACCAGCTGTTGCTTCTTCTTCATCATCGTCGTCCATATAGTCGGGACCTTCTAGATCAGGTACTTCACCTTCAAGAATATCTTCTTCCTTGATATATTCTTCTTCAACAAGGTTATCGTTATTTTCTTCTTCAAACTATATGTTTATATTGAGTTGTTGTTCATTATCCATGTATGCTTATTTACGTTATCGTGGCTAGAGGACATGATATTAGTAATTAAAGAAAAAAAGAAAAAAAATTTCAACCGTCACTTTTGGGCCTTTGGCCAGACTGCGCGCATCAGAGAAATACACAGAAAATATAAAGTCACAATAACCTTCATTTATGCAACACACACTTCATCTTTGTAGAGATATGCTTATTATCATCCAACATGAGGCTATGATGTAGTAAAGTCTCTGCGTCAAGTCCAATATTCAATGAATCTCGTCAAGTTGTGCTGCGGCGTCTTTAAAAACTGTGTTGTATTTTGTTTATTCATAAATAATTTATCAAAATATTCAATACATCATAAATGCCGTCAACAAAGCCAAGAGGTTGAAGTAGCTCTCTTAAACTTCTTGGCAATGCGGGTTCGGCAGCTCCTGTCATTAAGAAGAGATGATCATGCTATATCTCAACATAGTAAAAAGAGACCTTGTTTCCTATGAAGTATGTAGATAAAAATTTTTTTTAGCTTACTAACGACTTGTATGGTCATGTTGCTTGTCATTTTATTGACTTAAATTGCATCCTTAGAGAACACAGCCAGCCAGTTCAAATCTTGCTTTTTTTTTTTTCCGAATTAACTTCAAGGTTTCTTAGTGCAGACTTGAATCTTGACGCTACCTTTGCTTTGTTATAATCAATGAAATGGCTGAAACATGGTATATGATTATCGATCTGGTCAATGTTTTCTTCAAACTAGCGCATTTCGGAAGCTTAAGCGTTGTATTCAGTTGTGTTATTGAAAAAAAAGTAACAAGTCGATGTCTTGCGAATTATATTGTTCAAAAGAAAGGAGTATTATGAAAATACGACGCGTGTGTGTTTTATAGGGGGAGAATCTATGACTGTTACTGATATTTAATGATCATTTATGCTACTACTATTGTCAATGCTATTCTCATAAGATATGATAGAAGAATGTAAAGTAGAATGTATGCTCTATTGGGAAATTGCACTCTAGCTATTATAATGATTTATATCAAACATGACTTTTTTTTTTTTTCCTGTGGTGGAGACATTTTTGGAAGAAACAATCGCAAATATAAAAACAATAAATATATACTTTTCCTTTTGAGGGTTTAATCACTGCACAATTGATTCGAGTCAGCGTAATTAATAGCTATTGTTGCTATATCAACAGTATGATAGTAAGTCCATAATACACAGCAAGTCCCTCTCTATCTTTAGTGGCTGAACCAATGACACACTTTTTTCTTTTTCCTTACTTGCTTCTCTCTCTCTCCTTAGCATCTCCTAATTCTCCCCTTATGGTCCCAAAAAAAAAAGAAAAGAAAAGAAAGACAACGAGGATGATAAGCTCACCAATTTTGAATATAGCCCACTATAATCAATATATAAATATGTATATGTATGTTATATATACACATATGACAAACCTTGAATTTAAGCTCAGAGTAACCATGCTTATCTGAAATACACCCTTTTGGTCAAGATATATTTACATAAACAGTATAAATAAGCTGCGTAGTGTCAATATTGAACATAAGATAATATTCAACAAATGGATCATACATCATCAAATGGAATCCATATCGTTGCACTACTTTTTAAATCTCACGTTAATTGGCTCTAAAAATAGTCTTGATTTTTTTATTATTTTCCTTTCTTCTCTCTCTTTCGTCTTTCTCTTCTTTCTCTCTTTATTTTCCTTTTTTCACACAAAAAAATTTTCCCATCTGTTTTCTCATTTCGAAAAAGCCAAACATGTCGTTAGAAGGAAGAGATATTATAATCGGTACAAAATACAAATTAGGAAGAAAGATTGGTGCAGGTTCCTTTGGTGAAATCTATCTTGGTATGATGATAACATGAATGTGGTCATCTTTCATCTAACATCAATATCTATCTTAGGAACAAATATAATGAGTGGTGAAGATATTGCAGTCAAATTGGAAAATGTTCGAGCAGCTCATCCACAACTAGAGTATGAAGCAAGAGTATATAAGACACTAGCAGGTGGAGTCGGTATACCCTTTGTACGATGGTATGGAAGAGAAGGAGATTTTAATGTACTCGTTATGGATCTATTGGGTCCATCTATGGAGGATTTATTTAATTATTGTAAACGCCGTTTCTCTTTAAAGACAGTATTATTATTAGCTGATCAATTGGTACTATTTATTCTCCTTTTATATATATAACACATGTACTCACTACTATTTAGTTGTCACGCGTAGAATATGTTCATTCAAAGGGTAATCATGATCACCCATAGATTCTTTATTTTATTGACATTATGTTTAGGCTTCATTCATCGAGATATCAAACCTGATAATTTCTTAATGGGTATTGGTAAAAGAGGAAACCAAGTGAATATGATTGATTTTGGGTTAGCAAAAAGATTCAGAGACCCAAAAAGCAATGTACATATACCCTACAGAGAGAATAAAAACTTGACCGGTACTCCACGTTATGCTAGTGTAAATACTCATTTGGGAATAGGTACATATTGAACATACGGTATCATGATATAATGCTAATAAAACAATAGAACAATCAAGGCGTGATGATCTTGAATCATTAGGTTATATCCTTGTATATTTTTGTAGAGGACAATTACCCTGGCAAGGTATTAGAGCAAGAACAAAGAAAGAGAAATACGATAAGATCATGGAAAAGAAAATGACGACGCCTGCCGACGCATTATGTCGTGGTCTTCATCAAGAGTTTGCAATATATCTCAACTATGTACGATCACTTCGATTTGATGATAAGCCTGACTATTCTTATCTTCGTAAACTATTTCGAGATTTATTTGTTCGTGAAGGGTTTCAATATGATTATGTATTTGATTGGACAATTCGCAAAATGGTAAGTCTTTATATAACACCTACTCCTACTTTCACTCCTTATTAATATTTGTTATTATAGCAAGAGAAAAAGAGCACAGCAATGTTAGAACAACCTACGCTAAACCCAATGAACAGTTATCTTCCTGGTACAACACCCTTTGATTCATCAAGACGTTTGGCTTCTGGCGCACCCCTACCTTCTGCCAACCTCAGAATCCCTTATCGTACAGAAACTAAATCTCCTGAAGCTTCAAAGCGTTTGGATGATGTGATGCTCCAGTATCAGCAACAACAAAAAATGCTACAACATAAGCCTACGTATTTCCCACCACCTCTAAATACTTCATCCTTGACTCAACAGCAGCAACAACAACAGCAACAGCAGCAGCAGCAACAACAACAACAACAGCAAGCCTCATCAAACAATAACACATCCATCTTTCAGGATCCCTTTGTTACATTGACAACTGCGAATACATTGGCTGCTGTTGCTTCAAACAATACTCCCATGTCAGGCTATGCTAGCCCATCAAACGCTGCTGGAAGAATGTTGGCTAGAGATAATCCGCAAGTAGTAGGTGGTAAGTATGAGAGAAAGAGGGTGTTTGCAGATGAGACCAATCCTATCGAACCAAGTATTGCTGATCCTCTTTTCTCTGTTAAACGTACACATTTTCACCCACCAACAGGTTCACCAAGTAATAGAGTGTAAGTATAGTGAACACACCTTACCTTTCTGGACTAATACATAAACAAAAGATTACGTAGTCAAACCAAGGCCTCCCCTCTTCAATCACAACAACAGCAAGTACCTTATTTGAACAGCCCCACTGGATTTCATCATGATACCTCAGCATCTTATCTTCCAGATGCCACTGATGCCAACAACGTAGATAATTACAACATGTTAAACTCAACATCAGGTGATCGTAAGCCTTCCTTGCAATCTCCTTCAAAACCATTTCACTTGATGAATTCTGCAAGACTCTATAATGATTTCTAATATTTCTTTTATGATTGCGTCTATCCTTTATATACACACAACAACGCCAACACACACATATTATCTCTATTGTCACTCATTTATCACAGAAAGAAAAAATGAAATAGATGAACTGTTGTTACAATTCCATTCTTTTTATGCAATAATATTTCTCAAATAAAAAATTCATACGAAACAACTATAAAAATATATAAATATTTTAGCTTCTTTTTTTTCATTTCTTTTTCTTTTTAATCATGGTTGTCAAGGAAGTTTGGATAACACGTCATGGATTTCGTGAAGACTGGGTTAATCCCAACCCATCTCTGCCTACTCACCTTGGCAACGATCCACCATTATCTGAATTTGGAAGACAACAAGCAAAAGAGCTTGGAGAGTACTTACGAGATAAACGTATCGATAGAATTTATTCGTCACCATTTTATCGTGTCTTGGAGACAGTTTATCCCCTGGTAGACGAATGCCATATCCCGCTCTTTATAGACAATAGCATGGCGTAAGTAATTGGTACAAATGAAAACAGTACACATTGACACATGCGATATAGTGAATGGTATGGTCTTGCTCATGGTAGATACCTACCTCCCGCTCCTATCTCTGAGTTGAAAAAGCTATTCCCCAAACTAGACACTTCACACACATCAACCATTCCCTTGCCTACAGGAACAGAGACCGAGAAAGACTGTCATATCCGTGTCAAGGAAGGTTTAGACAAGCTGTTAGCCTACCTAGATCAGAAAGACGTACACACTATTCTCTTGGCTGGCCATGCTGCCTCTGTCATCTGTGCCGTACGCGCCTTACTTAATCAAGGCAGTTATCAGGTTCGATCAGGCACTTGCTCCCTTTCACGTCTCATCAAACAGGACGATGGCTCTTGGAAGATGCTCCAGAACGGAGATTGTAGTCATCTAAGTCAAGGAGAACAGCGGTCGTGGACTTTTGCTGGTGATGTACCTGACTATGAAAAGAAATAAAACCCCCGCATCTTTATTATTAAGAGTATAATAACGTATTTGTTACATCATGATTCAACTTTTTCGCCTAGTGATTTCTTTACTTCTGTTCGTAACTCATATAGCTGTCCCAATTGCTCGTCACTCATTTTATCCAATAATCCAGGATCTATTTTCTTTCCCCAACCCTTAGTAGGTGTGTTAAAGCTACGGACCAGGGAATCATTTGAAGGTGCCGGTGAATCTGCTGAAAGTGGTGCGGTTTGTTCCTTTATGGTATCCAAGTATCTTTTAAACCATTAATGACATGTTTTTAAAGAGACTTTTTAATTCTTACTGTTGCCATTGAGAAACGAAACCAACGATATGTGCAGGATTGTCAATATCCTTGTGTCGTTTGAATTCAGCCTTGACATAATCATCGCCTAATGCTCGCATGGCAGGTGGAAGGCATCGATGTGTACGAAGTATTTCTTTGTATAGCTTTAAAGGAGCCATGAGTATCTGTGTCTGCTGTGCGTTGGGCATGGTTATTGTAATAAGAAGAGAAAGAGAAAAATGCAAAGGGGGACAAGTTACACTCTCAGACATCGGTTCATTGAAGTGACCGTTTTTTAAGGCCTACAAGCTGTATGTGACACATCAGACGAGATTCTTTAAGCAATGTATTAAAACTCTATAAAGAAACATAAGATATATAGAAACCTGACTTTGTTGCATTATTATTATAATTATGAACTAAAAAGCATGGTTCTGAGAGTATAGTACCACATCTTTTCGCCTCTGTTTAGGTAACTGCTGGCTATTAAAAGTATAGGATCATCTAGTGAAGATAACGGTTACATGCTATAATAACAAAAATTAACTATAGTTAAAGAATGAAGAGCATAGATACACACAAAAGATGGCCTCTATACAACTTTTTGCTATCATAGATTCACGTCTTCAATATTTTATAATTATACCATCATAAATACATTGAAATTATTCAGCAATGTCTTGAACAGAAAATTATACGACCAAGAAAAAATGAGATTATCTAAAACCATTTAGGTCTTTTGGCTGCTATACCAGGTGGAGGATATTTACAACTGTTCTAATCCGTTCTTATTATAAGTTATTATAGTATTTATGAACGCATAGGCTTTGATGGACTTGATAACCATGTTTCTATAGAAACACACAGTCTACCAGGTAACAAACCAATGTTAGTTTGAGTAAATGAAGATCAATCGTACGTAGGACAAATACACATTTTTAAATTGTAACAACATGCTTATATTCAGCATGCTTCAGTGAATTCTGAAGGGATTATTATTAAATTGTAAGGTGAACAACATGAAACCAAACAACAAAATACGATCTGATGAAACTCATAACTCAATGCTCCAATACAGCGCATTCTACAGTGCTTCTAGCAGAATACACACTTCTTTTGAGAAGTGGAGTCAATTGTAACCATTAATTTGTTTAAATTGAATTTGCGTAACTGTAAATCTAAGACATTTAGACTTACATTGACTTTTATGTCCGTGCAATGGTCGATTATATCAGTATATATAATAGCGCGCTTCTTCTTTGTATATCTCACAATCGTCCCCCTTTCTTTTCATTTATTTCAGAATGGTTCAAATATTTTCTTCTGGTCTTTCCTTAATTGCAACGCTCCTTTTAGCTACAAGCGCAGCAGCCAAGACATGTGTCGTTGGAAACAATAAAGCCGATGATTCCATTGCTATCATCAAAGCCTTCAATGACTGTAAGACAGGAGGCACTGTTTCCTTCCCTAAAAGTGGAACTTGGTACCCAAAGAGCTTGATCAACGTCAGTGGCTTGAACAATGTCCGAATTGACTTCGCTGGACACATCGTCCTTCCTCCTTTTGATCCCAAGTACAAGGGCGGCTCTGCTTATTTGAAAATACAAGGTAACAATATCCATATGTCTGGAGGTGGCACAATTACTGGCAATGGTCAGTCCTGGTATGTAACATAGATGATGGAAAAAAGGGAGAGGGAAGCACTAGCCATTAGATAACTAACCTGTACAAACCTATAGGTATGACAGAAAGGACAACACTGCTCCCATTGTTTTCAGTGCAACAGCAAAAAACTCTGTATTGGGTAACTTTAGAATCATCAATGCCCCTCGTGGACATATCGCTGATGTGGGTTCAGAAAACGTCGTATATGAAAACATCTATCTGCGCACTCGTTCTACCAATTCCAACTTTCATAGAAACACTGATGCCTGGGGAACTGCTTGGTCCAAGAATATCGTTTTGAGAAACTCTGAATTCACCGTTGGTGATGACTGTACTGCTATCAGCACAGGTGTCACCAACCTGACTGTTACCAATGTCAAGTGTGTCGAGGGCCATGGTTTCAGTATCGGCTCACTTGGCAGAGGTACTCAGCCTGATTATGTCAAGTCTGTTCACTTTATCAACAATGAATGCCATCGCTGTCAAAACGGTATCAGAATCAAGACCGTTCCTGGCGGAAAGGGTTCTATTGAAGACGTCAGATTTCAAAACGTTAAACTCATTGCTGCTGAAAACCCTATTGCTATTACTACTCACTATTGGTGTGAACAAAATCACAACTGTAACATTGACAACTCATTGAGCATCAAGAATGTTGTCATTGACAACGTCTCTGGGTAAATTATCCATAAATGCACTTATTAATACCAAAGTACTTATCGTGATCATAGATCCACTTCTAACAAGGACATGCCCGTCATCAACATTGATTGCTCCAAGCGTGGTCTTTGCTCTGGTTTCTCTGTTACTCGTATCAATATCCAAAAGAATCCCAAGACCAAGAAGAATATTTGTAATTACCTTGTTGGATCTGACAAGATACCATACTGCCGCCAATAATTGTAACGAAAATAAATCTTATTATTTCACATTTATTTTACTATTTCAACTTGACTTTTTCATATGTGCGAATCCATCTCCTTCTCCTTGTTTTTGGCATAGACAGTCTTACCGGGTCTTCGGTATAAACCCAACCAAACTTATCAACCGAGACGCAAATCTCCACACCCAATTCACTATCTACCCAAGGGCCCGCCTTATCAATTGTCCACTCGAGCTGTTTCCAGCGATGTCCCTTTGGCGGCTTAACCTGTGTCTTTGCGGTCCACGACTGATGACCAGTCCAGGTTGACCAAGGTGCTTGCTGATCATGAATGTAGCCTAGATCAGATGTCCAGACTTGGTTTTCAAAAATAGATACTTCCCCCGTTGACAACTCACGATCCAGTATATTCTCTGATTGCTTGTACCAATCATGCCATGACTTGACATACCTCTTACCGGATTGAACCATGTACGGCTGTAACTCTTTCATGATATATTTTGCAAATCGCGTATTGCTAGCATACACAAAAAGACCAGCAGATAGGAATACCATATTGAGTGGCACAAAGATGGCTACAATACTTGTCATAAATATAGAGGCGACAAGTAGCTGAAGAATATGAACTGTTTCTTGTTCGGAGGACCAATCGATGTGGCTTGATTGTTCTACGATCCAGTCGTAGGCATCACTCACCTCGCCCATAGAATTTTGGATGTTTTGCAAATTGCGCAGGTACTCTGGTGAGTCATCTGAGCCAGGTTGAAAGAGGGAAAAGGGAAATGGTAATAATGTGGGAGTAGGTGAGTCTATGCCCTTTTTTCCTTCTTTTTTGATGTATGCTGTAGATGTTGACGTTGTGTTTGAAAGTGGCGTAGAGGAAGATGGATTCATTATTCTTTTATCTCTTCTAATACTCCTTTTGATGATACTACCATTCTCCTTTTTCTTTTTTAAGTTTGAGTGGTTTGAGAGGATTAGATAGATGAGGAATAGCTGAGGTATGAACAGTAACAGTTTTGGGTATAAACCTAATTAAAGTATAAATGATTAAGAATCAAGCATATGAAAATCATTTCTATCTTGTTACACATTAAGCAATAGACAATAAGCGAGATCCAAGTGTCCAAAGGCTTCTCCCAACTCAAGAGCAACATCACTCTATCACGGAAACTAAAGATCGGCCCAACACGAGCAACAAACCTTGTGAAATTTTTTGTAGTGTTTTGGGGATTTAAAGGAGGTTGCTTTTTCAAGTAAGCCGTTACTGGTTTATCTTGATTCGTGGCAGCGTTGGCTAGAATTGTTTGAAATTTTTCAGAAGTGAGAACTTCATGCATATGCTTTATCATTGACTCTGTAGCTTGGTGAATATAATCTGGCGTCATCAATGTAAGCCTGGTCTTTTTTATCGATTTTTTTCTCTTTTGCATAGTGCGGAAATAGATTTGTTCAATAGATTCGTTATTGTGGCTAGTATCATCGTCTAAAAACCTACTCGGTATTGATTTCGCACATGAACTTGAATATGATTTACAGCGATAGTGGCAAGCATATCCACATTCTAGGTATCATACATTATCAATCTTTCCCCTTTATGAATCAAATATAGCTTACCTTTACATTGAAGGCCCTGCCTTACTAAACCCCATAGCAGTTGTTTACAGTGTCCACAATATGTAAGATGAGTGAACGTCTTTGCGTCAAATGAGTGGCTCATTTCTTTATCCAAGGAGTAAAAAGAGAAAAAAAGCGATGATAAAGAAAAAGAGATGTGTTTAACAAAGAACACATGAAACAAATAATCAAAGTTGCACCCCGCCAACATTGAAGCCGCATGTTGACAAATATAGAAGCTGTGTTTGCCCAGAGCAGACGTGTACTTTTTCAGTTAATTTCTTAAAACTTATTAATAATAATAACAAGTCCAACTATGCCCACTTGACTTTATTCACCAAAACAATACGATAAAAACACAGGTATTCTCGTTCCAAGAGGAAATTACCGAATTTATCTCCCCAGTTCAAAATCTATTATAAGATCTTAATATCCCTCTACTTTATGAGAAGTAAAATTACTTTCATTCAAACAATCATACTGAGCCTCTATAAGCTATTTTCCGTGATAATACCTATAGAGTTACAACTGTGAGATTCACGGTACAAGTCTCGCATTACTAATTTGCAAATCTCATCTGCAAAGAATGTTGAAATGTCTAGATCCTCTTTGAAATCTCTTAAGCTCATTTGGTGGCCAAACAGAAGACACAAAATCTCTTTTGAAAGAGATTGAATGTATTGATCCGGAGTTTAGACATTTACTCCTAGTAGCCATGCACTACACTTATTCAATTAAGAAACCAGCTCAACCACAAACAATCTACACCATCTTTGCTAATAAATCCTCAATCCTAACTTGCTTTTCTCTCTCTCTGAACCCATCATGGTATTTCTCACTTTGAATTAGCTTCAACTAAGCCTGTCATTTGAAAAGAGTCGAATGCAGTAAAGGCAATGATGACACCTAGTCAAGGTTATTACAATTACCTTTCGAGAGTAAGTACCTTCAGTACATTACCTTCCAATAGAAGGCTCAAGCTTTTATTGGACGTCAACAATAACTATATCCTGGTCGTTCATTGCCCTGACCGTAGCGCACTAATTTTAATGGTGCACAATAATTATACTGGCAAACTTTGATCAAGCGCAATTACACGCTGCACACAGATCAGGATAAAGTGAAAGGTGCTGCTGCAAAGCAGTTGACAATTCACGTTCGTATAGCTGCAAAGATAGGCCAAGCGCTACGAGAGGAACGCTAATAGCATTTTTGAGAAATATCTGAAAACTGATGGCCCATAATCTTGATGAGAAATATAAAAATATTCTATATTAAATAGATGAGAACCTATCGACATTTAACTTTCATTGTGTCTTGAATACCACTTGACATTAATGTTGATCTTGGATAACTTTTATAAAGAATGCTTTTCAAAAGAGCGCTCACTTAAATTAGCAAACATCATCTGCTGATACGTGTTAATCCCAAAAAAGATTATTCATTATGTCAATAAAAATCTCTTTTTTTCTTTTTGTTCGAGTTGCTCACGTAGCCAGGCTCATAAGCCTGCAATCGAGAACCAGTAAAACGGACACAGAGATGGACACAGGAAACTGAGTTTAAAAAACTATGTACAAAATAGTTACACATTGAAGGTTCATATGCTGTATTTTCAATGCAGTCGTTTAAAACTAAGCTATCCAATCATTTATAAAATAATTTTATTTGAGCTTTCACATGGTATGGAATAAATACAACAGAATCTAAGGAAATCAACAAAAGAAAGAGGAAAGGCATTTATAATCTGCCTCGTTTTTGAACGCCCAATTCAATCAGCTTGAGGAAAGCGGCAGCAAAGTCATCAAAGAACTTTTGTTGGTCCTTGGCGTAGAGTTCAACATATTGACGGAAAGGTTCTTCCAAGAGTGCGATATCAGTAGGTAACATCATGATTTCATCGTCTTCATCAACGAACTGTCTAGGTCCATCCCACTTCTTTTCGACCCACTTAGTATTAAGCAAGAGCTTAAAGAATTGGTTGGAGAATCGAGTAGGGTTGTATGTCCATGGTCCATCAAATCCGGATCTATCACGATGACAGCGGCCAACAGTGTGAGCACCGATTAAGGCAACTGTTTCCTGAACTGTGAAGCCCATACGGCTGACAAATACATCCAAGACGTGGTCCTTACCCAAAGCACCGTCAGGGAGACGGCCCAAAGGAGGACAGTCGGTTTCGTTATTCTTATCTTTTCTACCACCGGTCCACTCGATGTGGGGACCACCCATGTGTTCAACAGCAACACAGCCAGCAAGACTATGAGATTCAATATGTAAATGACGAGGGGAAAGTATGTTGTATAACTGACACTTACGTCCATAAATCGGCATATGTGATCCAAGGGTGTTTAGCCTTGATGGGTTCCAAGAAAGTTCTGGCATGTTCTAAACCAGCATTAGCAGGGTCTTCTGCTTCAGCCTTATAACGCATAGTAGCACCGTCGCTACCGCCGTCCTTGTGGTTTTTATCATAAGTACCACTTGCATGCCATGCTAAACGAAGACTACGCACGAGAATAAGAAACAGAATATAAAAGCGACATATAAACTTACACAACAGGAGCAAAAGATCCATCATCATAGTTTTCATTAGGAAAAGCCTTGGCGATATCTTCTCTAACTTGCTTGTATTTATCAGGGGAAGCTTCGGTGGCCATAGTTAATATAAGAAATAATAAATAAAAAAAAGAAAATATTTTAACCCAGTCACTTTATAAGGTAGCCCTTGGATTGCTGCTTATTCAATCAATTTAATTTCATACAGCGACCACCAACAGTGGCCTCATGTGAAAAAAGAAGGGGGCAAGTGATGATTACTCCACACTTTTTGTTTGATTGGATCCGTTCATGAATTCACATGCTTGATTTTAATAGCCGAAAAAAGGAAACCGAGCAGCGCTCTTTAAAATGACACACTTCACTTTTTTTACTCTTTCTTCTTTAATACAATGTCTGATAACGTTGCTCATGCTCTTTCTGGTAACTTTTCATTATTTCTTATATACATGACAGCTTATCTTGTTACCTAGGTGCTGGTGGAGGTATAGTCTCCATGGTATTGACCTATCCTTTGGTCTCTATCAGTTCTCGTCTTCAGGTACAAAAGAATGACGCCAGTAAAGACGCATACAAAGTAAGCTTTGAAACGGTTATCACCCTGATGATGAAACTCATCATAAATCATAGAATACCCTTGATGCCTTTTTCAAGATTCTTGCTAAAGAAGGACCCAAGGGTTTATACTCGCAAGTATCACAATCGTATTATTTTTGTTTTGCAACTAACGTCTATCATCATATAGTGGCTTGAGCTCTGGTGTATTTGGTATCGCAATTACAAATGGTAATTTGTCTGGAATTCCCATTATAAATCAATATCTAATTATTTTCCCCACACATAGGTGTTTACTACTACTGTTATGAAGCTGTCAAGGCCATTTTTGAAAAGGCAAAGAGTAAGGGCAAGCCCATGAGTACAGCTGAATCTATGGCTGCCGGTGCTATTGCTGGATGTGCTGTCGTCTTAGCTACACATCCCATCTGGACTGTCAACGTAGGGTTTTATCATTGTATCTTTTTCTTGTTACTCATTTCGCTCTTATATAGACGCGTTTAACCGTCAAAAAGGGTGTCGAAGGAGATGAAAAGAAGACCAAGTCTAATGCTCTGGAAGTAGGTCTCCAAATCCTCAAGAAGGACGGTATTGCTGGTCTTTATGCCGGTGTCGGCGCTGCTTTAGTGCTAGTCATTAACCCCATCATCCAATATACTGTATTCGAACAAGTCAAGAATAAGATTGCCAAAATGAAGACCCTCAGCAACTTTGACTTCTTCCTCTTAGGTGCCTTATCGAAGCTCTGTGCCACTGCCATCACTTACCCATACATGTAAGAATTCTAATAGAGAACTGGACCATGTTGCTTATGTTTTCATAGTGTCATCAAGTCTCGTATGCAAGTGTCTCAGCAAGGAGAAGAAAAGTATGAATCTATCTTGGATGGTTTTAAAAAGATCATTGCTAATGAAGGTGTCCCTGGTCTTTACAAGGGTATCTCTTCCAAGATCGTTCAATCTGTTCTTACCGCTGCCTTCTTATTTATGGCCAAGGAAGTCTTGTTTGATTGGTCCGTTTGGGTTCTCGTCTTGCTCGGCGCTCGTAAGCGTGCTGCTGTCAAGAGTGCTTAAATTTAGATTTACTTTATAAATATTATTCATGTAAACTGTATTTTTCCTTTACAATCTCATTTTGTTGCTATCCTTACAAAAGCCGTTAATGAAGCACACGCATTCTCTATTTCAAACACAAGCTGACTAATATCCACTTTGTAAGGGAAAAAAAAAAAAAAGATATGAGCTATTGTGGATGAATTCATTTACAGACACACCCGCATAAATTTAAAATGAGATGATTCGAGGACACAATCTAATATACTATGGGATATGGTTCCATTTGGAAGGCTTATTGGTGTGAGATCTTTTGTATGGCAGCAACTGCAGACTTACTTCATTTTTTTAGCCATTATTAAATATTAATTGATGTCGATTTGTTGATTTACTTTCAAAGTGCTGTATTCATTGATGCAGATCAGTCCAGCCGTCAAAACCTTCATCTTCTGTTGAGGCTCTTTGTATAAAATTTCTGTGACACCATACATTTGGCACTTTATTCTTAATACATCCTTCCCTCTCATTCTATCGTCAAATACAGCCAATGGAACCTTATTTGGCATTTGAAAGGTTTTCTTTTGAATACGTGTTCTTTCCTTTGATATTCAATAGCAGATCTGTAAGTAAAGATTGACGTTAATATTTCTTCAGTCAATTTGAATAAAATTGTCTAAGCGTCCTTTGTGGACACAATTAAAGTTCAATATAAGCTATTTTTTTTTTTTTTTCAAAGAAAATGCATCATTTCTACATTTTTAACCTTGGATCGTCTCCAAAAAAACTACAAGAGTCTCATTTCAGATTACAACACTGTATCAAGCTTGACTTTAACTATTTCCCCTTTTCAAACAGATCAAATGCTCGATATGTTGATATGTCTGCGACTACTTGTGTCCCTTCTATATTTTGTAGTCATACAATATTTGCTGTTCTGAATACGTCAGGCATGAAGAAAAAGCAGAGCGTACTGCAATGATTCTTCATGGCTGAGACATAAAGAAATACAAGGCTAATGGTGCAGCATAGTCAAAAACAAAGGGGCTTTGTGAGCATCTGAGAAAGAAATACTTGTGTAAATCATCTACTGGATCGACACCTTTAAGTTTTTTTTAGTAAGCCCCTTTTTTCTGTTTTAGGAAACGGGTCCCTAATAGTTTCAATACTATTCCATATAATCATCTTCCTTACGCTTTATTTAAAGACAGAACGATAAAACGTTGGATGCAGACTTTTAATCTAAAACGAGACAAGTTGAAAATAGTTTTTGGACCAATCAAAAATCATTTCGAAATGCAACACAAAAAGCTGGAGACAGTTTGATATCTTACAATAGACAAAACGAAGCATAGCATTAGATATGTGCCTGAACCAAATGTTATCTACTCAAACATTTTATGCTCTTCACAATATATTAACTTACCAAGAATTGTGACATGTTGTGGAATAAAGACCTTTACGCATCAAAATATATATATAACTTTTGCTTTTAGAGTAAAAAAGTCACAGCACTAAAAAGTAAAGTCGATGCAGCTGTTTAAAGTCCGTTTAATTGCGAAAAGGGCAATTGCTCTATAGTGTTTCTTTGTTTAAGGTTGCAAATAAAGTTAATAGACTGACCTAGACAAAATAATACCTCATTGTTTACTCTCTTTCATATGTTTTCCGCTTATGTTCTGTAAGCAGGTCCGGTCAATAGCGGATATTGTATATTGTCAGTCATGGACGTTTGACTTGTCACACACTCAATCTTATATTGCAGCCCATTTTTGTTTATCGACATTTTCCCTCTTTTTTCTCCTGTTCTTTATCCACTTTTTTTTTTTTCGTATTTAAAAAAAAGGTGCATTAAAAGGTAAGGCTTAAAAAACGCGTCTTTTATTTTAAAAAGAGGGTCATGAAGGTATTGACATTCCTTTCCTTCTAGATGTCAAAAGAATTCAAGCCGACCACATGGGCGGCTATTCATAACGCAACACTTCCAGCTGAAGGTGCAGGCAACCAAACGTTTGATAACCGTATTCTTGCTGGTGCTGTGCTTGGTGTTCCTGCCTTTATCACATACTCCCTTGGTTTAGGCGCTTGGTCTTTCTTGTTCTTGACCGTTCTATTGTTCCTTCCTATTCTCGCGTGTACTCTCTATCTCTTTTCCCGTTTTGCTCCTCGTTATCGCAACCATATTCCTCTTCCTGGTAAACCTATTGAATCCTACTTGACCTTCCATGATGCCGAACTTCGTGCCAAGTATCACGGACGCAACAAGATTCCTATGGAAACCTTTTTTGAGGCTTATTTCGTTGGTAAGGTCGATTTCAATGGCGATCCTTTGGAAATTATGGAACTTCGTCATGATTGGGCCGCTTTCCAATTCACATATGGTCAATTCAAGTTCTTCTTAACTCAGTGGTTACCCGAAACCTTTTGGCACTCACGCGAACAAGATGAAAATCAAGTCCGTGATCACTATGATCGTGGTAACGATTTCTATGAAGCCTTCTTGGGCCCATTAATGGTTTATACCTCAGGCATTATTTCTGATCCCACCAAGCGTGAGACCTTGGAAGAACTGCAGGAAAACAAGATGGAGCTGATTTGCGAAAAACTCCACATGAAGGAAGGTGATAAGCACTTGGATATTGGATGTGGCTGGGGTACTTTGGTTGCTTATGCTGCTAAGCACTACAACACACAGTCCACTGGTGTCACTCTTGCTCGTAATCAAGTTGCATTTGGTGATAAGCGTATTGAAGAATGGGGCGTCAAGGATAAGGCTAATTTGCTTTGTATGGACTATCGTGATATTCCTAAAGGTCAAAAATATGACAAGATCTCGGTAAGTGTCCAAGAAAGAACACTTGCTTTACCTGTGATTAACTTTTATAACAGGCTGTTGAAATGGCTGAACACGTTGGTATTCGTCGTTTTCAAACTTTCCTTCAAGAAATCCGTGAATTGTTAGAAGATGATGGTCTTTTCTACATGCAAGTTGCTGGTTTGAGAGCTACCTGGCAATACGAAGATTTCATTTGGTAAGTGTAAACATACCTTCAAAAGTACATGGAAACTAATATCTTGTTTTTAACAAAGGGGCTTATTTATGGCAAGATACATTTTCCCTGGTGCTGATGCCTCTACGCCTTTGTACTGGTACCTCAGACAATTGGAAACTGCTGGCTTCGAAATCCACAATGTAGACACTGTTGGTGTTCACTATTCAGCCACTTTGGAACGTTGGTACGAAAACTGGATGAAGAATAAGGGTGCCATGACAGAAAAATACGGTAGCAAGTTGGTCCGTATTTGGGAAATTTTCCTTTCTTGGTCTGTCATCACTTCCCGTCAAGGAAGCGCCACCTGCTTCCAAATTGTTGCCAACAAAAACCGTAACTCATTTGACCGTGCTGCATTGATCTGCAATCGTACTAATCCTCGCGCCTGGAAAAGCAAGCGTGGTTAGATAAACATTGTGTATATTTGAAAGATATAAATAAAAGAATTGTGTTTTTACGTTTATTTTATTTTTACGTTGTGTTGCTTTTAAGAAGAGAAAAGGATAAATGTGAATACATTATCACTATAATGCATCCAAAACTGCAAAACTATGGTTACTAATCAACACTAGCTATTTCACAAAAGCCAAACGCTGTTGACAGTTGTCAAATTCAATCAGGGAAATTGTCGTTGTGCAAAAAAGCAAAGTCACAATTGATGTCATAATCTTGAGCCACAGCGACAGGGTGTATTTATGGTGCGTCTAAAAGAAAATCTGACTTGAACTTTGCAAGACGCGTCAGCTTAAATATTACGCAACCCGAGCTCCTCAGTCTTTTTCGACCTTTTTTTTGCATATTAGCAAATCCATATTAAACAATATAGAAGATGAGTCTCAAGAAAGGAGAAGTTAACCTCGGTGTATGTTGACTTTTTTTTTAAAAAAAGTATAATGCTTATTATATTCATAGACATCCATTATGGCAGTTGCTTATAAAGATGGCGTTATCCTTGGTGCTGATTCACGTACAACTACTGGCGCTTACATTGCCAATAGAGTAACAGATAAATTGACCAAAGTTCATGATAAAATCTATTGTTGTCGATCAGGTTCAGCTGCTGACACTCAAGCAGTTGCTGATATTGTACATTACTATCTTCAAATGTACAGGTACATAATTCATAACACAAAAAAAGAAAAACTTGGAAATGTATACATAACAATACATTTATATAGTGTTAGTGAAGACCAAGCGCCCTCTGTTCGTACAGCAGCCGCCTTATTCCAGGAACTATGTTACCAAAACAAAGATAATCTCATGGCAGGTATTATCGTTGCTGGTTGGGATGACAAGGACGGACCATCAGTTTATAATATACCTCTTGGAGGATCTCTGCATAAAGCACCATTCGCAATTGGAGGTAGCTTTTATACAAGCGTATATGAATAACAATGTAGCTAAAGAGCATGACGTGTATAGGCTCTGGATCAACATATATTTACGGTTACTGTGATGCAAAGTATAAAGACAACATGACACGAGAAGAGTGTGAAGAATTTGTAAAGAATTGTAAGATATTTGCTAATAAGTGACAAGAGACTTTTTATTTATTCTTTGATGCTTGTAGCTTTGGCTTTAGCAATGTCTCGTGATGGCTCTTCAGGTGGTGTCATCCGTATGGCGGTTATTACAAAGGATGGTGTTGAAAGACTATTTGTTCCTGGAAATGAATTACCTGGTAAGTGGATACCCTAAAATCTATAAGCCAAAATATTAATATTTGTTTGATAGTTCATTGGGAAGGTTAAATTTTGCCTTTACTAAAGTTAATAAAATCACTGTAAAGATAATGCGTTTCATACTGTTGCGAATGCAGCTCAAATTGATAGCATACACTGTTCCCATTCTATTAAAAAGGATTATCCCAGTGAATTGCATGAATCAGATTAACTTTTGCTTGGTGATTCTTTTAAATACACACTACATTAAATGAAATTTGGCTTTGCTAATGAAACAATGCCTCTCACATCTATCAAATAAGCTTTAAGCAGTTTGCCGCTTTAAATAAAACATTTTGAGATTTTCAGTAGCACTATCAGTCATCCAAATGATTCCAAATAATCAAAAGCAAAATGAAGACTCCATATAGTATATTTAACTTTGAATGTTACTTATCCCAAAAGCCAGAACCATTTACAAACTCTTCAGTGTGTGGTCTTAATGAGAATCTGCTAATGCCCAACGCTTTTACTATAATGAACCTTTTTAATGGGCATATGTCATATTTTAACACTATACCTATTGATAGCATAGATAATATGTATACTTTGCTGTATTAAACTGATTCAACTAACTAGGTAAAAATAAAGGCGTTTAATTAGTTTGAGTGGAAGTCGCGCGAAGCCCTTCAAAATCAAAGATCGTCCTTTTCGAGTTGGAAATAGGCATTGAGCTGCCATTATGTAGAATATGCATTACAGCATTTGACGAAATTATAGCTATGATTGATGGTAGTACAAGAGAATAGCTTACAATGGTTGCAATAATAAAACCAAAGGTCCGAGGAAATATTACGTTTCTTGTTGTAACATTTCAAAAAGCAAATTCTACCATTCGTCACACATTAGAATCGCGTTAGTCCCGAAATCTATTCTTTCTATAATGTTTCAGTTCTTCATCTAACACACAATTTTTTTACATATGCTATGTAATAAATATACAGTCTTGGAACGAAAAGCAAATCACGGACTTATTGTTTTAGTCAAATAACAGCCTAGCTCCCCGTTGTATTAGATGGATAATAATTCCTTGGTGCCTTTAGTCTAGCATTCTCAATTGCAATGGCGTCAGCTGCTATTAAATGAAACACAGCAATGGATTACAGAGAAATAGAAAGCGTAGATAAAACAATATGGAATATATTTATAGTAATCCTTCGATATCAATGCTCATTCGGTTGACTATAGCTTATTTTCAGACATGTACACATGTGTAATTTTTCTGTTGTAAAGCAATTGGTTTCATTTCCTCAAAAGCAAGCCCATATTGCTTTCATTCAGTAAATCTATATTCTCATTAGTTTAATATAGAAATATTCGGTATATCAATCTTATACATGTGCTCTGTAGAATGATACGTTTGTTCAATTGACCTCAGGATATTTGTTAGTGCCTGAGACTGATTAGAGTGAATTGCTGCTTTAAGACTGTTTCTTTAAAATAAAATATAAAAAGCATTGCTTGTATTTAAGAAATATACAATTACGTTTAATGCAGCAGATATGTATACCCTTCTTTTGTTACCCAAAGGCCACGGCTTGTTCCTGAAAAATTAACTGATTTACACACTTAAATCAAACACTCCTTTTTTTCTGAGAACAGCAGGCATTATATCAATGAATTGGCTGCATGAACCATGTTATAAATAAGCGATAATGGAACATAATAACAAAAACATAGGAGAGTAAAGAACAAGGTGGCTGACTTGTCAATTGTACAAATGGAAAGCAGCTATTACTTTTTAATTGTATAAAAAAGCAACTATACCCTTTCCTTTGAGAATTATGGGTAGTTTCAATTAATAGAATTTAATTGATTTGTACAACGATCGACTATTCAAATTCTGGTAGCCAGCGATTGCAAACTTTATATGGTTGACACATGATCTCCGAAGTTTATGGAGAAAAGTATATATAAAGTAGGACCTAAGTAAGAGTAGTAAAGTACCTTATCCCCATTTTACTATTTTTTTTATTTCAGAATGGTTCAAATATTTTCTTCTGGTCTTTCCTTAATTGCAACGCTCCTTTTAGCTACAAGCGCAGCAGCCAAGACATGTGTCGTTGGAAACAATAAAGCCGATGATTCCATTGCTATCATCAAAGCCTTCAATGACTGTAAGACAGGAGGCACTGTTTCCTTCCCTAAAAGTGGAACTTGGTACCCAAAGAGCTTGATCAACGTCAGTGGCTTGAACAATGTCCGAATTGACTTCGCTGGACACATCGTCCTTCCTCCTTTTGATCCCAAGTACAAGGGCGGCTCTGCTTATTTGAAAATACAAGGTAACAATATCCATATGTCTGGAGGTGGCACAATTACTGGCAATGGTCAGTCCTGGTATGTAACATAGATGATGGAAAAAAGGGAGAGGGAAGCACTAGCCATTAGATAACTAACCTGTACAAACCTATAGGTATGACAGAAAGGACAACACTGCTCCCATTGTTTTCAGTGCAACAGCAAAAAACTCTGTATTGGGTAACTTTAGAATCATCAATGCCCCTCGTGGACATATCGCTGATGTGGGTTCAGAAAACGTCGTATATGAAAACATCTATCTGCGCACTCGTTCTACCAATTCCAACTTTCATAGAAACACTGATGCCTGGGGAACTGCTTGGTCCAAGAATATCGTTTTGAGAAACTCTGAATTCACCGTTGGTGATGACTGTACTGCTATCAGCACAGGTGTCACCAACCTGACTGTTACCAATGTCAAGTGTGTCGAGGGCCATGGTTTCAGTATCGGCTCACTTGGCAGAGGTACTCAGCCTGATTATGTCAAGTCTGTTCACTTTATCAACAATGAATGCCATCGCTGTCAAAACGGTATCAGAATCAAGACCGTTCCTGGCGGAAAGGGTTCTATTGAAGACGTCAGATTTCAAAACGTTAAACTCATTGCTGCTGAAAACCCTATTGCTATTACTACTCACTATTGGTGTGAACAAAATCACAACTGTAACATTGACAACTCATTGAGCATCAAGAATGTTGTCATTGACAACGTCTCTGGGTAAATTATCCATAAATGCACTTATTAATACCAAAGTACTTATCGTGATCATAGATCCACTTCTAACAAGGACATGCCCGTCATCAACATTGATTGCTCCAAGCGTGGTCTTTGCTCTGGTTTCTCTGTTACTCGTATCAATATCCAAAAGAATCCCAAGACCAAGAAGAATATTTGTAATTACCTTGTTGGATCTGACAAGATACCATACTGCCGCCAATAATTGTAACAAAAACAAATATTTTATAGACAGGCAATAAAATCTATCGTTTAAGTAATCAAATTATATTTACCATGCCTTTTTTTGACAAAGCTTCTGTAGCTTTTGCTAAGAATGAAAATTCAGCAGAAGTAAATCACAATTTATGCAACATTTACTGGTTTCACGAAACTTGTTTTGCACAACAAAGGTACTTGTGCCTGTGTCATTAATTATCTAGAAATCTCTTTCCTCAGAATTCTTGTAAAAAGTAAGAATCATGGCTCATAAAATTGACGTGTAATGCCCCAAAGTTCAATTATATTTAATAGGACAAGTGATTGATTATTACGTTTATTTTTGTTCACGTAGCTGGTTATAGTTTTTCTTTTTGCGTGCCCTATCAGTTGCTCTAAATTGTATCTGTACATCTCCATATGAAAGCATTATTATTAGTATCTACAGCAATAATTGAGCGGGTATCAGCTGAGCAAGATACATCTCTGATCAATTCTTTTGACATTTCATGTGAAAGAATCTATGAAATATAGGTCAATTTCAGTGTAATAGAAGCCACAGTCAACTTACGTTAACAGGACGAAATAATTCTTTGGTGTTATCGGGTAATGTTCGACTTTTTTGTCCGTCTCCAATATTGAAAATGTGTATATCTCCTTCATAGTCGCCTGCAAGTAGTACCTTTTGCCCTATTTTTTTTTTTTTATAAGAAATCAGAGCTTGGTATCAACAAGTACTACATACCATTCTTTTCTATGACTTTAAATCGTAAACCAGTAGAACCATCTGAATCTGGCCATTTTAGTGACTTATAGATCTCTATATCCTTTGGCGTGCTCTTTGCCAAATCCCAAATGACAATTTCTAAATCTTCAGCACGAGAAGCTATGTAGTCTTTAGATAACCATTACACAATTGTTTCCCCTTCAATTCTATTCTTACCAACATGATTATATAATGGATCTTTTTCATCGCTATCTTGTCCCATAATATGTATATCATCTACATATCCTTCATGCCACTCATCTCCCGATGGATAAATAACCGTTGGCTGTATGGTTGTAACTCTTTCCTCGTCATTCTGCTCAACAATGGATCTAAACTTTTTCAATTGAGCGGCTGTGATCGAGTAGCGGACAAGATTTCCGTCCGAACAACCAACGATGAGTGTACTAAGGTCAAATGATACGCTTAGAGCTGAAGGCTCTCCGAAATGTTGAGGTAATGCAAATTTTGCAAGACACCTAAGACCATCCTGTTAGTTTCTCAAATTATAGACGAGACAGCTTGCTTACATTGAGTCATCTGCTGCACTAGTTGGTGAGCCAATATCCCACAGACGTACTGTTTTATCTGCAGACGCACCTATAAAGCATGTTAAACTAAAATATAATGCAAACACTTGTATGACATACTGAATAACCATCTTGGTTCAGATGCACTAAAAGCCATCTTTAAAATAGCATCCTTATGTCCAAAGAGATAGCGATAACATTCATTCTGTAAAGGATTAAGCAGCTTGATAGACCCTAGCCTTCCGCCCACAGCTAATACATTACACGTTTCCTCATCTTCGTCACTTGAACTATCAGAGTCTTCGTCAATATTCAAGGTTGTCCAAGCCATGCAATAAAATATTTCTTGAGATTCTGAATGTGTGTACTTTTTGGTATATCGACCTTGCTGCACATCTAAGAAAAGTACGCTGTATGAACCGGCTAATGCTACCACATCTGTTTGCACTTGTCCAGGACGATGTGGTTCAAATTCACAGCACCAAATATCTTTAGATTGATTTTCTTCACCATCTTTTGACACTTTTACGGGCACATTTATATTAGTATGGCCTTCTATAACAAAAGAGAGGCTATAATCCTTGTCTAAACATGCAAAAAAAAAATTTCAGTATCTGCACCTATCCCATATATGTTTATCACGTACTGATGATAGGAAGTGGTTCTGTTGAAGTGGTAGAGCTGTTTTTCCTTCGTCGCGTTTTCCGTGATGCGTCCTGTTTTATATTCTGCTTTACATTCTGCTTTATCTGTATAGTTTTTTTAGGTTCGCTTACAACCTTGCGAGGTCTTCCTTTTTTCTTTGGGGCAGGCTTTAGCTCTTCAACGGCGCCTTCGCTGTCAGGGCCAGTATCACCAATTGTTTGCTCACTACTTTCTTCTTTGTAATTCAATGGCTTTTTTGATCTAGTGATTACTCTTTTGGTAGGTTTTACTGCATTCGGATCACGAGCAGCTACATCTCTTCGTCTAATGATATTGGTTAACGATACTTCTACAAAGTTCCTATCGATTTTCTCCTTTCTTCTTCTTGGTGCTCTCTTGCGGCGAGTAACAGACTCTTCACTGGTTTCGGTTTCAAATTCTGCAACTTCGCTATCACTATCGCTTTCACTTTCCGTTTCGCTCTCGCTTTCTGTGCCGCCTTCAACACCGCTATCACTATCGGAATCTACTTGTTTGATCCGTCTGTTTGTTGTCCTTACGCGTCGAGGTGCAGGTCTACGACCTCTTCCTCTTCCGCGTGTGCTTACAGCCGTCTTGACCATCTTGGGTGTCTCTTGGTTTTTTTGTTTTGGCGGACGTCCCCTTCTTTTAGCAGGAGGATGTACAGGTTGTGGTTGGGTAGACCCTTCGCTCTTACTGTCAGAATCGTCAGATCTTGGTGCGAATGTGGGTGTCTCCAATCTTGCTCTTTTCCTGGGACGATCGATGCCAGGTTCGTCTTGCGTTTGTTGTACTGATCTCTCATCTCTATCATCGTCGCCTTCGTTAAGGATGGCTGTTGGTAAAGCTTCATTACCGTTTAGTTTATCCTGGTCAAATTCAATCTTGGTCTTTGTAGTAATCTGATGGTCATCCTCTGGTATGGAAGGTGTGCCAGTATTGGGTATTTTTGCTAGAGTAGGCTGTGTGTAAGTCTGGTCTGATAACTCTGGCATTTTTTTTAAAAGAAAAATAGGAGAAAGAAAAAAAATTTCAACCGCGAGAGTCGTGTTCAGCCCTTGGATTTTTATGGATTGAATTTATGATTTTATTAAAACTCATCAACTATGCTGGTGCGTGCGGTTCGATGGACGCGTGGGTATCAATCAAGCCCTCTTTTTGTTACACTGGTTACAGATAACTCAATGGTTTCAAGTAGTTGAGATATAGATTAAGCTTTTAAAAGCAATAGTTGGGTAAAGTCAAGATTGTTTATTGCTTCATTACTCAGTAAGTAAAATATGAAGCAATGAGTTCATTTTTTAATATTATGATAAAGAAAAAAAAAGTGTTCATTATTTTTTATAGGAAAGTGTATGTATATGTGTGTGTATATCTTTCTGTTAGTATCAGATGCACGGAAGTAGCACACGTATTTGTTTGTGTAAAATATTCATTTGAATGGCGCTTCTAGATAACAGCAAATTGCTTTTAAGATTCAGTAAAACCACATGAACAAATATGTCTTAAAAAACTATTCCATTCTTGTACGCTGTAGAGAGATCAAACATGTATTATTATAGTTTAGCATAAAATCATAACTTAATTAAAACAAACTATACAAAAAAAGAAAAAGGAACTAAAACCTAATGATGTGCTTGAAAGCAAATCAATATAAAAACTATAAGAATGGTATAAAGTCATGCAGCTGTGTATTCAACATGAAGGTGGCTGTAAATAAAAAGACTCAATTAGACAGCTGCTGTATCAAAAAGATACTTCAAATCTATTTTTAATCATGACAGTGGCATGTATTTTATTAAAAACAGGATTCTTTTATAAAAATACATCATTCCAAAAGTGCGTGCATTAATTATGTCTGTCCTCATTTTAATGGGAGCTTGAGTTGTCCTACACATTTTATAGCTATTATGTTCTTAATATAGAAAAGCTATATTTCAAGGAGCTCTTATTTTGCCGTTTAGTCCAAATTTTATTGGCATAGTGCCTGGCGCAGAATATTTCGGCCCGATCAATCACCAGGACAGAGGTAGCAGTGTTACGGTAAATATTATTGAAGCTACACTTTTTTTTGTACACATTCTAGTTTTTGTGTTTGTTTCACTAGAGAACAGTAGTTGTGAATTATGTAGTTCAAGTAAGGTATGGGTACACTGCTTTCCTAAGAATCATATTTGTAACAGATCAACAAAGCTTAAAAGCATATATTGCAGCTTCATTATTAACAAAGACATATTCCTTTTGACTGTTACTATAAACCGTTTACATTTCATATAACTTTGATGCGCACAAACATAATATTAATAGTCAGTTTCATTAGCACATAAACTTGATATACGCGCATTTTATATAGGATTACACCATATCCGATGCAACTGAGCTACTGTTCTTATTGTTCTTAATTGACCATATTGTACATCTTGTTTTTATTATTCTCTCTTCCTGAACAATAGTAAATGTTTTCCTTGTAGTACGTCAAACTTCAAATTAAGCTACCACAGGTGGCTCGATGCTTGACATTGTGTACTTGGCGCTAGTAACTCACAAGATTTAACTCGAAATGTCTACACTAGGCAGAACTTCGCTCACTGTAAATAAATATGTGGTTATAATATTACAGTGTTTACAGGTTTATAGATACATCATACGACATTAATTCATCATTTGAGATATGACATTTCCCGCTTTAAGAGCCATGAAATATAATGTGTCAGTAAGAAAAACCTCTACATGTAGTTATTGTTGAGTTTGAGTTTGAGTGTTTCGTCACACTGTATTCAAGTATGTACCAAACGGAAGAACAACACATACATTTCTGTTTAGCTTTTACTGATTATATACCAAGCGCAGCTCACGTTTGGTATTGATTTCTATAACGATGCTACTAAATCTAAAACATTTATTATAGATAAGTATAACGCAACTTTCATTTGTAATGCTTCAATTTGAATCTATGTAGTAGATATCTCTTTGTCAAAATCTTTCAGTATCTACATCTAATAAAGCAACTTTTGAGTAACCTAATTTATAAGAGCAACTTGTATTCCAGTTATTATTTTGAAACGAACAGGGTTTTACATTGTAGAATATATCTTTTTTACACTATTAGGGAGTGTTACGTCTAGTAATGTATCAAGTATCGTCATGCAATGTAATGTAATTTCAATTCCATTGCTATATCAACGATAATTCGTCACACCATCGATTTGAAAAGATATGAATAACTGATCTAATTTATTTTAAAGCATTACTATTTCACCACAAGAATTGTACTGTTAACTTAACAAAAACACTAGAAGCCTGAGCTACCTTCTATTTTCCATTTAAATAATAAATTTACATTATCAGGAGCTTTATATTATAATAGAACTTATAAGTCTAGATATACAAGTAATTTACATTCAAGAGTTCAAAATAGAGGTATACGCTCTTTAACCTGATGCATAAAAACATATTCAGCGGCCGCCATCAACTTAATTGTCCGCACTACCATAAAAGAAGCCAGATCAATGTGTTTGAGATAGCCAATCTTTACCTCAGCCTATAGGTGCTTCTTATAAAAGGCTTTTGTGGCACTTTTATAAAGATGTTTATGTTATTACTGATTGCTTTAACATGAAGCATTATAATGGGCTTTAGTCACTCTACAATTAAAAATTAGCTCAAAAAGTGGCCATAAACACTACGGATGATTTCATTACAGTTCGCCGAAGCAAAACTGATATTTGTAATATTGGTATCTAGGGTTGATCCATATTCCAAGGCTCATTTGAAAAGTTATCTCACTTCACTTGATCTGTTTTGATTACTCGGTTTACTTTAGCTGATACACCGATAAATAAGAAGCGGCTCTTCTGTGGTAAAGCTATTACGAATCAATAACTAGCTGATAACGGAATGTTTTAAGGTAAGTCTATGCAGTTGCTAATGAGTAATAGGTCCATTGATAGCTTTAGTATACGATTATTTCTCCTATTAATACTATTTATAAAAGCGACTTTATTCTTCTTAACAACCTTTATAAACAACAAGGCTGTAAGTTACTCTATCGAAAAAAATCAGTAAATGGATACTTTCACAGCTTTTATATGGTAGGACTCGCATCCAAACAGGACATCTATGGGGACAGTGGGCGGAAAGATATGACAGATTTCCATCGGTATTTGTGCATCAAGAGCATTGCTTCGTTCCATTGCGAGCAGAAAAACGTGAAATAGACTCTTGACAACTACTAAGAATTGGTCCTAGCTAGCATCTGCATATACTATTTCAAATGGCGCTCCAAATAACGCGTTACTCCAGTCTCATTGTTATGGACCATCACAATTAGCTTGTTATAATGCTTATTATTTTATATATATAAAACTGAAATTTTAGAGTAGTTTTTGTAATATCTCCTTTTTAATATTATCCGCAAGGTTGCTTCATCTCTATAAATACTATAAGAATGTTGATTGGCCGGTTGATACTAAAGGGCTAGAGCATTTACAGCAGAAAGCTTGGCTATTCTTTTGGTTTATTCTATATTTTGGTAATATAATTAAAGCAATGCTAGATAGTATTCATACTATAGTAGTAGTATAGTTTGCATGTGATTATTTATGTGAATTTTTCAGTATCTTTTGAATTCTATAATAAATCAAAGCAATGGCACTCCAAGTTTCTACTGAGCTTCTCTTGAGATTCTATTGTACTTGCAATCCATAAGATTATTTCTTGTATTCTTGTTACCTTATTTATTAGTTTATATGTAAGGGTAACACTGGAAGACAAGTAGAAGTGAAATATATTCTAAAGAGTTATTTTAATAGCTTATGATAGCTCGTTTTACTAAAAGCAAGATACAGATCTTCTGATACTATATAATCACGACTATGCGCGTTGCTATCTTATAATTTATGTACGATATGCGTATCAGTATACTCACATTTGAAGCTCATAAACTATATTTTTAAAAAAGTGGAGTGTTAAAGTTTAATAAATCATGCTTATGTATAAACGGGTAAAAACATTCAGTAAACTATATCATTGAATTAGCGTAATTATTAAAAAAAAAAGTCTAAAAAGCTTACAAGGATTTGCAACTTGAAATAACCAGTACTTGAGTTCTCATAAAATGAACGTTTTTTATTTCCTGTTCACCTTCTCTAATTATCTCTGGAAATATAAAGATGCACGAAAAAATTCAGCCATTTGCTATCACCATGGGCTTAAAACGCCTAAACCATTTTGTACAATCGGAAGGCATAGCTGATCAAGGAGTATTAATGATAATTTTTGCTGCCATACGGACGCGTAAATAATATTTTGGAGCTCGCTGAAGAATGACTGTGTATATTGTAAAAATCGAAGGTAGAATCGGGAAATTCATGACTGTTGCACATCCTTTAAGCGAAGTCTGGAGCTGAGAGCACACTTGTACTTGATTTTATACCCTTGTTAACAACTGACCTTCTACTTGTTTAAATTGATTAGCTGTAAAGACCATGCTGGATTCAAGGTAAGGGAAATGTTCCGATGATCGATCCGTGGTGTAAACAACGTCATCATGTTGCTCCAGAAACGCCATCCACGGCTCAGTCGGGCAGTTACTTAGAGTAAAAACCTTTGTCTTACTTTGATTAAACTTTACATTTGAAACCAAAGAGTATCGAAGCACAATCTAAGGTGATGTAAATATTGTCAGCATAGGTTAGTGCTTTCACACGATGCGCAACCCTTGAATTGAAGAACGTGTAACCATATAGTTAGCTGTTATGATAAATTACTGTAAGAAGCAGCTCTAAGGAAAAGCTATTTGATAAACCATTCCTGTTATGCGGGGCTGACACAATAAGAGTACCTACTTGATTCAATCAAGAATGTGTATATTTGCATTATAAAATGATCGAATCAAGTTTGCAAGTTGACCGAAACTGGAGTGAAAATACTCTATAACTATGTATCACAACAATATCTTTTTTAAAAGTATAAATTAAACTGTTTCTCGTATTTTACAAGGCAATTGTCTCTCCTTTCATTAAAAGAAACGAGGACTTAATCCACCATCGATAGCAATACTCTACGGAAATAAGAATCAGCGCATTTATCTAATACCATATACTAACCAATAATTTATATTTCTGAAAACATAACATGCTTTTTCTGTCATGTAGCTACACGCCTATAGTTACTTTTGGGTATGATAATCTTATTTTGTGCCTCATTTTAGTATATATAGTTCGTTTACCGAATCAGTATCCTTCTATTATTTAGTATTAGCACTTCTACAGGGTAGGACCACGAAGCTAGCATGACACACATATTGCTTTTGTTATCTGCTTTACTCTATGCTCGTAATTAAGTTTAAATAAAGATTTGATCACAATCTAATGTAAGCCTATCAAGTTATTCTTAAGGCGATTATGATTTTTGCATCATGAAACGCTATTCAGAAGAATTTTGATTCATTATCTTAATAGATATATTAAAAAACTCCTATTAATAAAAAAGAAACGAAAGTGCATGAATTTATAATGCCCTTAATGCACTCTTCTAATCTTCGCGTTGCTTTTTGGAGATTTGAAGTATTTGACTGGGCTACAGTTGACTACAGTGCCTTGAAAAAAGAATTATAAACATATACTGCAATGACGCTATGAGCAGCCATAAGAATTGAATGTATTCGGCTTAGTAGCTCTTTATAATATCATACAAGCATTCAATATGTAAATGCTACTTGTTCGTAATGCTCGCATTGGCTCATATCATCAAGTATCGAGAATACAAATATCATTTACCTTTTAAATGCTAAACAAAGCTGTAATAATTAGTATATATGGTAAACTTGTGATATATTTTCGTCAAAGGTTATTATATTTAAACAATTTAAAGATGTAGTAACTGTTACAGGAGTTACAGTGAATTGTAAGCTCTAATACCTATGATCCTTTATGACATTGTTCAACAGCTTTCTAAAGGTTAGGATTATTCTCAAATACAAGATTCCTATAGCATAAGTATCTATTCTTCATTGATTACACTTAAACTGAACTAGAGCTAAATAAGTGCCTTTACATGGATTTTATCAAGACAAGAAAAAATACCCAGTTACAAGAGCAAATCGGAATAATATTCGAATTCATAGAGGTTGTATGAAATGCGTATGATAGATATTATCAAACCTGCTAATTTACGCTTCAATGCAAATATATGCCTGATATTAAATTAGTATGCTAACGTTGGTCAATTAAGCGAAAACGGCCACATGACTGGGCCGTGAATTGATCCTATGAATGAAATCGAATGCAGCGGAGAAAATGTAAAGGAACCGCTGATAATAGATTAACCAGGAACACTCAGGGGGATGTTTCATATCTTCCCCTTAACACCTGTTATCAATTTAGCGGCATTTTATTTTAAAAATTCTGTCTTTTGAAAGATGTATTTATTTTTATCGGAAGACCCGCATCCGATAGTATTTCGTCATAGCCTGCGTGTAAATGCCTTTTTTGTGCTTGAAAGGTCACACAAAGTAGTCTCTATAGTTACCTATTTTTAAATCCATTAATAAAAGCATGTCATTCTTTATAGAATCATTCTTATTTAATCAACTGCTGAGCTAAACTCTAGTTTTCTTATATTATTAATAAGTCAGGGCACCATATGCTTAGGATAAGCGTGACCCTTATTCATAAAATTCACGTGAGTTAAAGGGCCTGACTGGTTAATAATATCAAAATAATTATAGTATTATCTTACCGTAGACATATCAAAATGATGTAACTCAGTCTATAATAGTCATAATGCCTTTTGCTTGTTTTTTAATAGTGACGCCGATTCCTTTACTGAAAAGTAATCAGAACATAATAAACATTAATAAAACGTGATTTTCATAACAATAAATCTAAAGAAACATTTGAAAAGTATTCCGTGATCTTTTTTGTTTACTGTCAGTCATCGTCGATCATGTTTGTACTCGCCCATTTCTGCGTGGTATAGTATTTTCCATAAAAGGAAACATCCCCTTGCTTGATCGTGTTACATATCATAATTCAAACGCTCAAACTTGGTGATAATAACAGATGTGCAAGATGAAGCGCTATGTTCATAATTATAACTCATATTTATGCCTTATACAATATATGTACAGAAAATTAGAAGCAAAGAATATTATTGTTGATACATTTTATGGCACCCAATAGTGTTTACAATAGAAAAACAAAAGATCATTTTAATGATTTATGAGTGCCTTATGACTTTAAATAGGTTTACAGTAATTATAAAAAGATATATAGCTATAAGTCTAAGTATAATAATTAACATCTCGCTACAGAGTTGCCTCGTTGTCTATTAAGCGCGAATATATATTCTTAACCGAATAAGGACTTTCTCGAGAATGCTTGCCCTGTTCGAATTATTTGCTTGAACACTCGGTATGAAAATGAGGAGTTATCTATTGCTCATTTACTGCCCGTTATTTCATAATGAATAACGTTATAGAATGGGATTATGGACTGTTTATGAACATTAAACCCCCTTTTTTTAATATATCCTTCCTCAATAACTCTCCGCATGATTTTTATATCTCAGATAGCATGTAAATATTTCAACGCTATAGGTTACCATGCTCAATAATATAAAGAGAAAATAGTAAAGTGTAATCAACTACCATGTTTTTTCATAGTAGCTGACATGTATATAATGATTTACTATAAAATATAGTATATTTAAAAGTGATTGAATTCTCCGATTATGTTGAATAAACTATAAATAAGACTTTACTGATCTTGATAACAAACAACAAAAAGCTCTCCTGTCAACACGAGACCCCCTTTTCGATGTTAAGCTGACCAATAAGAATAAAATTGCTATATATAGTAATCATGCCAAACTTACGCAAATATCAATTAAACTTAAAAAAGGCAACTAGACATCTCGAATGAACCGACGTGACTAAATTGAGCAATAGATTGAACGACTGTTGTGTTAATTTCATAGTGACCTGACATAGTCATCACGCTTACAAAAGTAGCATGAGCTCAATGCACAAATAAGTCTGGATAAATTATAAAAATATACATGCGTGTGTGTGAAATTATTTAAGGGTGGCCATTTGATCATTTATCTTTTTCCTTTCCTTTTTTTATCATTAATCAATGTCAATATATAACAACAGTTATGGCTCAATCTTACCCTCTTCTCCCACAAATATACAAAAACTATCCAAAGCTGAACGAGACTTGCTACAAGCAGATAGACCAGGATATGGAACACGTACTCGATTAGAAGTAGCTTTCAACTTGGTAAATGCCACTGTAGGTGCTGGTATCATTGGATTACCATTTGCTATTGCTCAAGCTGGATTCTTTACTGGAATTAGTGCTTCTATTATCGTCGCTGTCTTGGCACAACTTGGATTATACATGCTTATCATCTCCGGTCAACGTGTCGGAATCCATAAATTTGCTCTACTTGTTGAATATTTACTGGGTAAACCTGGTTACCACTTTCTTAACTTCATGATATGTGTGCAGGCTGGTGGCGGAGCTGTCAGTTACTTTATCCGTAAGCTATTCATAGCAACCATAAAAATAATCACAATCTCATCTATATGTTTATAGTCCTTGGAGATAGCTTTCCTACACTATTTGAAAGATATCTGCCTCAGTTTCCTATTTTGGCTAATCGTACATTTGTACTGCTTTTTATCGGTATTCTATTTGTAAGTCAATGTTCAATAGACTCCTTTAGATTTATTTACATGAATACATAATCATAGATTCTACCTTTGAATATGCCGAGATCTATCGGTTCTCTTGCAAAATGGTCCATCATTTCTGTACTTTGTCTCCCCATCATCCTGCTGACTATCATCATCAGAGCGCCCGCCTACGCTCCTAAAGAAGGTGTTCAATTTGAATGGGTCGGTAACGATGTGTGGAGCGCGCTTGGTATCATGGCTTTTGCATTCACCTGTCATCAAGTGGCCTTTAATAACTTCCTGACCCTCGAAGATCAGACGACCTCCAGCTGGAGACACACCACCATTTTGTCAACTGGCATGAGCTGGGTTATCTCAATGACCTTTGCCATCATTGGTTATATATGCTTTGGAAATGATGTTAAATCAAATCTGTTTATGAATTTTGCTACTGATGATCCCATTGTCAATATTGGCCGATTTGCACTTGGTATCAGCATGATCTTGACTATTCCGTAAGTGTGATCTTTGTATTATGTTTCTATATATCTTATTTTTTTTTTTTGGCAAGTATGGGCATCTTTCCCACACGTGAGGCCATTCAAAAATCATTGGGGTTCGAGACAGCAAAAAAGCAACCAAGTGATGTCCAGCATTATACGGTCACTGTCCTACTGTTCATGGTAATATTAAGTTTCGGCATAGCCGTAAGATCATTAGGTACAGTCTATTCACTCGTCGGTGGATTCTCAGCAACAACTCTTGCCTATATTATACCTGCTGCCTCTTATCTGGTCACACGTCGTGTTTATCTCAAAAATGATATTAAGCCCAGTAACATCGCTGTGTTTCCGACCCTGACAGGTACGACCACGACTACTGTAGATGAAAGTGATATCAAAACACAACTCTCGTGGGACACATCGTCTATCGCTTCCTCTTCTAGACTATTCGATGATGATGTGTCCACTGTAAATGGAGATCCTTGTGAACCCATGCTGGTCATTCATGATAAGGCTCTTCGGCCCGGTTGGTTCCTGGATGTGGCTTCTGTTTTACTCATTCTTTGGGGATTCCTCGTCATGTTCTTCTCTATCTCTGGTGCTTTAAGAGGGAATGCATAAACAAAAAGACGCACATACACACATTATATACACCAATGCATTCTTATTTTAATTTGCTTAGAATACCAACTACATATGTATAAACATATAATGCACATGTACACCAACACACACGTTTGATATGCATCAATAAATGATACAATTTAGGGACGTTGACCGTTAATACGCTGTATAGAGTGAATAAATATCTTTGTTTGCCATATAATTCAACTTACTCTTCCTTTTTTATTCATTCCTTTTGCTTGATTATTATTCATACCATTGACGAGATTAAACTTGTCAGTAAGATCATTCATTGTATTCAAGCCTTTTGTAATTGAGGCCAAGTAAGCAACGAGCAATACATCATTGTATTCCTTTTAATAAAAGAGTTAATACGTTATATACTCTGCACGAAAACAAGATATTTACTGTAGAAAATTGATCTTCAAATGCTTTTTTCTGTAATACAGTGTGTCTCTTACAGAAACTGGATATCTGTCGAAGTATGTCATGATCGGCTGGTATTAAACCTGCTTTTATATCTTGAAGGTATTGATGCAGGAACTGAATCCTTGAATTTAACATGGCAATAGCATTTCTTTGAGTTGTCAATTGTGAAATGACTATAGACATGTCAGATACTTTTCTTATACACATAATCCTACTTACACGCACTCCCTAAGCTTGCATCTGTGCTTGTCGAACTTGGTTTGGCTACATGATCCACTGCAATACATTCAGCTTCTCCTGTTTCTAACCTGTAAGTAGCCTTGATAAATACAAGTCGTGTTTGATTCCCCTCAACAATATTAATCATAGGTTCATATATCTCAATCGGGAACTGCTTTGTGCCATTGGCTAGAGCAGCCGGATTCATTTGCAAAAATAATGAAGACTCATTCACGCTAAGGAACTATATGAATGCACTTTAGTGAAACTTGATCTTTTTTTTTGTTTCCTTTTTACTTGTTCATGCAACTTCAAGTCCAGCTCGGTAGGTTGAATGCCAATAGAGTACCAGCCCATGAACTCAAGCGTAGGAAAGACTTGTTTTACTATATGTTTTAATTTAGTTTTTATGTGCAGTGAAAATGTTGTCAGTGATTATATGTTTTACATTGCTCTAATTTATACATCAAGTATGTTTTATCCAACACATGATTCACACCATCCTCTGCTAGTTTAAATGGAAGCTCAAACGAATTGATAATGTCGATGTCTCGTCCTGATTGCGAAGCTAATAAAGCACCAAATACGCGACCTGACAAAATAAAGTTATTCGCTTATAATGGATATCTAGAGCATTATTTACCATTCTCAATAAGCATTGGGTTTTGCAACTTTGTGCGTGTGTAGTGATCTGATATGTTTAACAAGACTAATGGATGCCTAATTAACGTATTAATTTTAGTCCAAGATCTTTTTTCATTATCTAGTTGGCTTGACATTTATTGTCAACTATTTACACTGATATTGAGAGCCCCGAATTGCTTTGTAAATTTGAAGTAATTATAGAATTAAAGCTTGGTTCAACTGACATGTCCATCTTTTATCAGAAAGAAATGAAGAAAATGCATTCAAGCTTCCAAAACTTTAAATTTAAATACCAGATTCAATGGCCGACCCATGCCCATAAAAAAAAATACTAGTTTGACAGAAAGAAGTGCCCTTTTTTTTTTTCTACTTTATAAATCATGGCTGCTCAAAGAGAACTCAAGCCCTCCATTTGTCTCAACTTCTCTTTCTTTAAAGGTAAATTACACCAAACTAAAAAGGGGAAAACAACCAACCTACACACAGAACATTAGACTATATGAAAGAATTACGAAGAGTAGACGACAATATTATCAACAGACTAAACTCTACCTCTACACAAAGTGAAGCTGCATGTGCTGACTTCTTTAGACAAATATCAGAAGCTTATGCTAGACGTGATGAAACGATCAATTACTGCCTCAAGGTAAGGATCATAGCACCTATAACGTAAAACTTATTATATCAGATTATGGATGAAGAACTCGACAAGAAGAATAAAAAGTTACAAGAAGACCCTGATGACTTTGATGTTAAAAATAGCATTTTCACTCAAGAGTCTATAGTAAGCATGAATTCCTTTCTAATCACGCCTTTTGCTCATATACTTTCCTTAGCGTCAATCCATTTCAAATGAGAGATACGTTGAAGAAATTGTTAGAGATCGTACCTTGGATGTATTCAAAAACAAATGTAGATTATTTGATACTTCTCCTCTAGACAAGTAATAAAAAAAGAAAAGGAAAATAGACAAAATATACATTCTATCGCCTTGCAAACACAAATTATTTTTTATGTTATTTTATTCTCTCTTTTTTTCTTTCTTTTAAAACAAACAATAAGATTTAATAGAAGTTCTTGGTGTGGTTTTCACAGATTTCACGGAGCTTGGTTTCAAGTTCCTTGGAAAGAACACCCTTGGAGCGGATTTCTTCCAAAGTGGACTTGTGTTCAGTGTGGATGTGGCCGATGAAGTCCTTTTCCCATTCAGTGACCTTGTTGACAGGGACCTTGTCAAGGAAACCGTTGACACCAGCAAAGATGATAGGAATTTGGGTTTCAATGGACAAGGGAGTGTATTGGGGTTGCTTCAACAATTCGGTAAGACGAGCACCACGGTTCAACAAGAATTGGGTAGAGGCATCCAAGTCAGAACCGAATTGAGCGAAAGCGGCAACTTCACGGTATTGGGCCAAGAAGAGCTTCATGGAACCAGCAACTTGCTTCATGGCCTTGGTTTGGGCAGCGGAACCGACACGAGAGACGGAAAGACCGACGTTAATGGCAGGACGGATACCCTTGAAGAAGAGTTCGGCTTCCAAGAAAATTTGACCATCAGTAATGGAAATGACGTTGGTGGGAATATAAGCAGAGACATCACCACCTTGAGTTTCAATGATGGGAAGAGCAGTCATGGAACCATAACCGAAGCTCTTGTTCATCTTGGCAGCACGTTCCAAAAGACGAGAGTGAAGGTAGAAAACATCACCAGGGTAGGCTTCACGACCAGGAGGACGACGAAGCAAAAGGGACATTTGACGGTAAGCAACGGCTTGCTTGGACAAATCATCGTAGATAATCAAAGAGTGCTTGCCGTTGTCACGGAACCATTCACCAAAGGCGGCACCGGAGAAAGGAGCAAGATATTGAAGAGGAGCAGCTTCAGAAGCAGTGGCGGCAACGACGGTGGTGTACTTCATGGCATCTATAAGTCAGTTAGCTTCTTGTTCGTTCTCTATTCTATCTTTACTTACCGTTTTCTTCAAGAGTTCTGACAAGTTGAGCAACAGTAGAACGCTTTTGACCGACAGCAACGTAGATACAGTACAACTTCTTGGATTCATCAGAACCGTTGTTCCAGTTCTTTTGGTTCAAGATGGTGTCAAG